CACAACCCAATTTTTTTTGCACAGACCATACGAGCCAATGGATAAAAATGCGTCTTCGCACCATCTTTGGCGTTGGCGGACAAAGAGGTTCAGTACTTGAACCACTATACATAATCACGTTTGCACGTGAGCGCGTGAGGTGGTGCACCGGGTGGGTCCGTGCGCTCGCGCCGGTATAGCTTTGGCTGTGGTGCCTGTGGATGTAAAAAGGTAAATAAGCTGTACGAGGCACTGATCGGCGGCCTTTGGACGATCACTTTTTTATTTTCTATTAATTCTTTATCCAAGTTTTTTATTCTCAATTTGTCTCCCACGGTCCAGGGGTTATTTTCTAAGCCTTCAGAATAGTATCGTTTAGAGTTCAAAATCTTTACCTTTGTTTAACTGCAATAATACTTAAAAAACAAGCGATCTGGTGATGATTCATGGTAATAAAACCCGAGACTCAGGAACACAGAAGGGACGTTGTGTTGTGTTCGTCCCCTTCTGTGTTCCTGAGTCTCGGGTTTTTTTACCTTTGTTTAATTTTTACTAATTTCGTTTTGGTCTGCTGTGTTTTAATCTTTTTAGTCTAACAATCTTCTTAGAGTGCCCGGTTAGATAAATACCCATTTTTTTTCTTCTTTTTTCAACTCCAGACACTTTCTTCACCTTCTTTTTTAACGTTGTATATAAAACCGTCAGTTGTGAGTTAGCGCCTGTCCTGTCCACTTCTTCGCCTGTCCTCGTCCTAGCGCTATTTGAAATTTAATATGTATAACCAACTAGCCCGCCAGAATATTTTAATTTAGAAAAAAAAGGCAGGAAAATGATCGCCTCATTGGCCGAGAGACTGAAGGGACATTTTGTGGAGGCGCTTTATAATTGGGGTTGTGTGGGTATTTATACAGGGTGTAGTTGGTCAGCCACTTTAATGTTGCGACGAGTCTCTCAGCTGTAGATGGGCAATTTAGCCAGTTCATTACAACCGCTAGCTTGGGGTCTTTAACGTGCACCACGCCGTAGTGATCCACGACCGCATGCCGGTCCGATGATCACCCAGTTTGAAAGTGGGCAGGGAAACAGGCTGCAGAATCCAGGATCCTTGGGTTCTGCAGCGCGAGCTTTCGCTCCACGTGCTCCGAGCTGTGCGCTAGCCAGCACGGCCCCTGGTGCCGCCTCAACCGCGTTGCTATGCGATCCATGCCAACGCGGTTGTTTTCCTCATATTTACATGGAGGTGGTCGTGAGTTTTTTTACTCATGATGGAAATTACATGAGACTGTGGTGAAATATGGAACACGTAGTAAAAGATAAGAGGACTTAAAAAAAACTCGTCTCCTTGGCCGAGAGATTGAGCGGGGATTTAGTTTCCACGCCTACTTCTGTTACAATTCGCTACATGTATGTAGAATACGGACGCCACCTCTAGCCATCATAACCTCCTTGGATTGAGCTCATTTCATCAGCTCGAATGCGCCGCCACCATCGACGATTGTATATTGTAGTCACCACAATAATGATTGACGGATGCCATGTCTAAACCTGTACAAGTAGTGCTTTACAATTGCAAACTCCTCATTGTGCTCGTGGCGAATAACGTGCACCTTGTGTTTGAAACGCGCTCCCACTGTATTTTTTCTGGCACTTTGACTTGCGTGCTCTTGTGTTTCTGTCGCGGTGTTACTGCGGAAGAAAAAAAACATGCATGTACAGATGGCGGGGCAAATATTGACTGCAGGGGGCCGGGTGCTTGTCAAGCTGTTTTAAATTTACTTTATTCCCGGTTTTAATTACATTTTTGGATAAAAAATTAAAGTATTATTTATAATTCTTTTTTAACATTATTACTATTATTATTACTATTATTATTATAATTATAATTTCACAAGCCCCCCTTGGCTTGGAAAAACCTGTGTAATTGAATATATGTGGAATATAATTATAATGATGATTATTTTTATTATTACTATTTTTGTTAATATTGGTATTGTTACTTTATTGTTATTAATTTTCATGTTGAGGTTGTTATTGTTATTTCTTCTTATTGTTGTTCTTATTGTTATTAAGTGATTGTTGTTGTTGTTGTTGTTGTTGGTATTAATAGAAAAATTATTATTATTATCACAAGAAGAAAAATAAAGTGCGTAGCCCAACGATAACGTACCACTGAAGAAAAAATGTTGTATTACGTTTCACATTGCGGCAGTAACCCTCCAGAACCCCTCTGATTAGATACCATTCCGCTTCCGTGCATTCATAAGACTTGTGAAACAACGCCGATGTCAGGGTTGGGCAGAAATACTCAAAAATGTATTTGGAAATACAAATACTGGGATGCATTGAAATAGTAGCTAAAATACTGATACTAAGATACATCTGTAAAAATGTATCGCGGTACGTATTGGAAATACATTTTAAAAAGAGGCAAAAAGTATTTGGAAATACAAATACAGCAATACATTTTAGGGAGGGCAGAAATACAAATACAGAAATACTGATACTGCAATACATTTTCCAAATTTTTTTGAGACGCCAACTGAGATGAAGCTTGAAGTTTGAAGTGGATGTTTTCGATCCCGAAATTACTTTCCTGTAGGCTTGGCACTTTGCCTTGAAGGTAGTGGTTTCGGACGACAAGGCGTCTTCAATTGGCCCAAAAAAACGTTCCAACAATTGCTGACCGCGGTCCCTTCCATGGCATCCTGTCTGTCTGACGAAGGAATCCTGTCAACATTGATCACATTATGTAACGGTGGAATGAACTAGAATTCTTTATCTGTAGGTGTGGCCTCGAACATGAAACTTTACCACGCTGCTGTATGAAAGGATAATGCGTACTTTCGTTGTAGGCTACCTAGCTGAAGATTGTGCATGCAATGTCATTTGTAATTTTTGAGAATAGTGGACCACCTGAAGCATCTTGGAATAGATGTCTTATCTACTGTATTACAGGTGAAAAAACGATACGGTAGCATCCCTGTTCTGAAGGTCCTTACTACCGACCCTCCGCCACCGACGCGCGGATTGCAGTCCTCAAGTTTTACCAAGCATTATCCAAACAGAGACCTCGTGGATTGCGAGCTGATATTGCCGGCACAGGTACGAGCTGTCCAAGAAACAGCGGTCTCGAGACTGGTCGCGGGAGTACGTAGTCTGGGATGGCACAGCGTGGCCACTTCTGGCCTCCTTCTGGGTTTCGGATCACCAGAGCAGCGGGTCACGTTCACGTCGGCTGATGACGTACCCTTGAGCCGTGCAAGGTTACGGGCGCAGCCGCAGATGGATTCGAATATGTGTTGAACTTCACAGCGTGAGTCTTCCTAGTATTTCAAGTCAACCACCGCCTGGCTCGTGCTGCAACGGAATGTGACTCAGCTTTGCCGGCTGGATGTACTCTGTACGCTAAGGTGAGAGAGACGGTTAGCAGCGGGCATTGGTTGCCAGGAAACAATATGACTCAAGAAATCCCTACCTAAGGACCTGCGGCTGAAGATGCTCGGACTCCACTCCTGGCACGCCACCTGGTTCGAGTCCCCGACTACGGAACACTTCTCAGAAGAGAGAAGATAACGTATAGAAAAATAGTTTGCAGAATCAAAAGAAACCTTGGTCAGCATAGTAACAATACCCCAGCATCTCCTTGACTCTGGTGCCCTTAGAAGTAAAAAAAAAAATGCGTTCAGCCTTGTTTTTTTTTTTTTCGGGGGGGGGGGGGGGGGGGAGTATTTCTCAAGAAATGTAACGGAATATATTTCATCCTGATTGTATCGCGATACAAAGAAACATTCCAAATGTATTTCGATACAGGAATACAGATACTGGTAAAAAAAATGTATCGCGATACAGAAATACAGATACGAAATGTATTTCTGAAATACTATCGCGATACATGTGTATCGCGATACTGCCCAACCCTGGCCGATATACAGGGAGGAAGAGTGTAGTGGTTAGGAGGGGGGGGGGGGGGGGGGGGGGGGCGTAACTCAGCAGGAACGGGTAAACATGGATTTCGTCAAATTTTATTTTGGCGGCTTTGTAACGGATATTGTCATTTGAATACTTGGGTTACTTAATCTGCATACGTCGACTAGCTCCTCTTTAGAGAACGCGAAAAAAAAATTACCTCGGCTGTACTTGGGGTACTGGTGGTAATCACCGGGCCGGGGAACCGCTAGACCCTTATCTGGCCTTTTTTTCGGGGGTGACAGGCTGGTCACATTCAGGGACAATCTCGATCACTACACTGGCGAGAGGTTACGCTATCCACCCGCGCACCCCTCGTTGGACAGGAGGACGTCGGTGGCATGGCGCCGCCTCCAGACGGGCTCCTTCCCGAGCCGCTCCCTACTCAATAAATGGTTCCCCGACAAGTACAAGCCAAACTGCAAGCTCTGCGGCGGCCACGCCAACCTCCGACACATGGTGTGGGAGTGCAGCAGGATCGACCGCAAGTCCCACCCCGTACAAGAGGAGATCGCCAACCAGGAGAGCTGGGAGACCCTACTCCTCTGCTCCGACCCATCGGTGCAGAACCAACTAGTCCAGCTGGCCGAAGACGCCGCCAAAACCCAGAGGGTTTAGGCCGCCGTCTGAGGGGTGGCTAGCGGGGCGACCCAAGGGGTCTCCCGTTTAGTCATTATCCCATGCTTGGGCAAATAAATATTGTTTACTACTACTATTACTACTACCCCGACTGTACCGGGGGTACCGACGAAAAAAACTAACACTCAGAATGTTCACAGGGCATGCTTGTTGACGTTGTTGATCTTCCCTTTTTTAATAACATAGCGAGGTAAAACATAGAAAAAAATTTAAGAATAACAGAAGGCGTTTTTTAGAAAACTTAAATACGATGAATATAGAGTTTCGTCAATATGCGTCAGATTTTTATCGTTTATTTAAACACCGGGATCTGAAAAGTCAAACACTAACTCATTTTAGCATTAATTAAGGATTATGTAGCCGTGGCACTGCCACATCTCAAGTAAACATTTATTTTAATAAAATAATAGACTTACTTGTAGCAAGCGAGCTGTAAGGCCATTTGAACGTAGCTGTCCGGGCTTAATTTCCAAGACTTCACGCTGTTTTTTCCATACTTCGTGAACTTGAAAAATAGCTTATCACTGTTTACCCTGAACCTGCCGATTTAGAACATATTTTAAAGTTTACGGCATTAAATGGCACTCATTGTACCTCAGGTCGGCATGACTGTCATGAAAAATATTGCTTAATTAAAACTTTAATCACGGAAACCACTTGATATAACGTTAGGTCGCGCACGCAAGACTGTGACGTTACAGTGCCACGTGGCGCCATGGTGTCACGTGACGTCACGGTGTCACGTGACGTCACGGTGTAACTTGACGTGGTGGTGGCAGGCAACAACAAATTATCACGTGATGTCACGTGACGTCGTGAACGTACGTGATGTTATGAATATACGCGACGTCACAGTTTCAAGTGACGTCATGGTGTCACATGAAGCCATGATGTCACATGACGTCAATACGTCACGAGACCTCATGGTACAAACCTCATGGTCATGGACGTAAGGCGACACCGTGACTTCACACGACGATGTCAAGTCGCGGTGTCCCCTTACGCCGGGTAACTAGGTGACGTCACCGCCATGTCACATTTGTGACACCATGTCATCACACAAACATGCATTACTATGCATTTAGAGCGCCATTGAGATGACAATCTCTACACTCTGTCTCACTAAAACTGTGCAGTAAACGCAAAGTCAGCGCTGGGTGAGGGGAGGAAGGGCAAGCCCTAGTGGGGCTGGGGTGTAAAAGCGACACCTGCTCTCTCCCGCAACGTTCCCAATTACCACGCTTTAACATCTCACCCGCCGTTACCCTCCTCTTTCTCCCGGCCTTCCTAGTGCTTGTCCTTCATCCCCTCACCCAGCGCTGCCTTTGCGTTCATGAACGTAAAAGTTTGGGTTAGTTGGTATGCTGGCATAATAAAAAACAAAACAGCGCAAAGACGAGGACAAAGTAAATAGTAACCGACAGGACACAGCGCTGATTGTCAACTGAAAATTTATTTAAGTTAGCACCCAGTATAAAGGGCATACATAAACACCAAATAAGGAAAAACACAAAAAACCAAAGCACGTGTACAATACAACTGCGTCACTGGTTTTCCCTCTTCGCTCCAAGTACTGCGGTTCTTTATCTGACAGCACGAGCGACGGGGCACTAACACAATCTGGTACCAGCCTGGCGCTGTCACGACCTTCTATAATTTCACGCGTGACTCTGCCTTTATTTTTAAAAACTCCTTGGCGTTAAACCAGGACTAGGATGCATCCGAAATTTCTGAGGTGAGCGGACACAACTTTAAAAAACGTTATGTCGGTGTTCTCTGAGCCGATCCTGGAGACATCTTCCTGCTTGACCTACATAGCGACGGCCTCACAATAATGGAATAAAATAGACCACATCTTCAGAAAAGTCAAAGTCACAAATTGATTTGGTGTTTTTGTGCACCCTATATTATTTTTATACCTGAACTTACTTTTCTACGGAGCTCGGCCAGTTTATTGGGTGCTGAGAACATCACCTCGACACCCGTACGTTTTTCGACTTTCTCCAGGTTATGTGAGATACCGTAAAGGTAGTCAGCAGTCCGGAGTATTGATGATTGTTTATTGAAACTTATATCAACCTGGTGTGAGCGATACTTGTCCGGTGCATTCTGGAAAGACAGGTTCACTATCCTTCTTCTAGCTAGATTAAGGTGCGCCGATGAAAACGGCTGAAGTGGTTTTTTGCTTCTTGGTTCATATACCCAACACGCGCGAGTATAAAAAAAAAGTAAAGACAGAGGTCTAAAACCCAGATCGAGCTATGTACGGGCAGCTCGAGAGTCAAAATGGGTGGTCCAAGGCTTTCACTAGGAGTACTCAAAAAGTATGACACCTCAGCTCCGAAGGCCTCATTGCTACAATCAAATAATAAGATAATCATCCACGAACCGAAAAAGTCTTGCAATTTTCGAACTTTCTAGTTTTTTTTTAGATAGAACTCTAGCAGCGCTGTGTCATGTCGGTTGCATTTAACTTTGTCCTCGTCTGTGAGCTGTGATATTTTTAATTATGCCTTTGCGTTCGCCGCACGGTTTTAGTGACACAGAGTATAGTCTCAAATGATACTGTGGCGTCGTTGAGGGTATTCATACTACGGACACAATATCGCTATACCCGGAGTCACACTGCTTATACCTCATAACAAAGACAGTCTGCATACAGACTGAAACGCGAGTCACCGCGAAATTCGTCCTTCGAATTGGCACGCGGCATACTAACCACGGATGTTGCGGCCACTTGTGTTTGCACACTGTTTTTCTATGATGTATGAACAATGCGACCTAGGGTTTAAGGCTTGCCTTATAGGAAGTATTCACTGGCGGCCATAGCTGTGTGCGCTACTGCTGAGCGCGTGCTGATGGCGAGCTTCCACGGTTCTTTTGCAACGAGCATTCCACACCATCAAGATTGTCGGTCTTAGCAACCAATTAATCTAGGCTCGTTCTGAGCATGCGCTCTAGACCGCACCCACAAATATGGCGTCCAGTGAATACTCGCTATACGACAAGTAAGTGTTCCAGAATGCGTCTGTGGCATATCGGAACGCAGCGAGTAACGCCGCAAGGAACGCAACGTTGTTCAAAACGATAAATGAACATTTGACAGAGGAGTAGGGTAGTGCTTCGACAGAGTCCCAGAAGAGTGAAACCTTTTGTGTGATGCCCGTAGCCAAACTTTAGTACTTACAATTAAACAAAACAAAGCGCTTTAACGCATTCTTGTGAGTTAGGGTAGGTGTTTCAAAACCCCTACCCGCGAGTAAGATTCGGCTTTTCTAGACATTTTGGACGGCCCCGTCCCCGGTCCAATGTTGCCGACGCAGAAATCAACGCGGGAAATAAAACGGGTTTTGAGACGCGCATCATAAGCGCAAGCGAAGATATTAGAAAGAGCTAGTACAAACTACATTGAAAGGCAGGATCCTCTGCAATAATATGTATTGTTCATCGTGCACCAGCAGTACTATCCATAGTCCCCAGTTTCGTGCTTATGTAACTGTGTTAACATTTCTTAGCGTTCTCTTCAATATCAGTTTTAGAGTATTGTGTCATAACTATTGAATATTGCCATCATCAGGCCTACCGTGGTCATTTGTCTTCTGCCCCGCGCGAATACGCCAAGGCTCCTATCCACTTTCCTGGTGAGTTTTCTGGGTCACAATTATTTGTAATGTCAAAATTGGCGACATATTCAATTTCAAAATAAGGTATATACATTCATTCTCCTTATATTTTGTTTCTGCTTTTCTACTTTTACTATTTATACCTCTTGTGTACTTAGATGCCTGTTCATGTTTTTATAGTTCGTATTTCCTTATTTATATACTTGTTTATGTTCCGGCCCTCGAGACTGCAACAGGTCCCCAAACTGGCCCCCTAGTGGAAAAGTTTGGAGACTCTGCTTCAAAAGGTACTTTCGCGCTTCCTCCATGAAGCCCGGAAAACGCAGGTGAGCGTGTTCGGATCGGCCAGAGGCTGCTTGCTCGGCAATGCAGTTTGTATACAAGACAAATTGGTTGATATAGTAGTGGTCACGGTTTTTGAGCGCAGGAAAGAGAGCATGTAGCGTTAAAATATTTGTTTCTGCATTTCCCTACGTACTGAGCCCGTGTTTTCAAGATAAATTAAGCAGTATTTTTCATTACTGGTCAGCAAATATACTTCCTTAAGACGAGGAAATGGCTCAGGCAAAACTACAATTACAAAGATACAACATAGCTATTCATCGAACGGAGTCTAATTTTAGTTCTCGTAGAGTAAATAAGAGTTACACTCTTTTACCTCTAGGATTTTGTGTTCTGCTTTTTTCTACCGCATAATTTATTGTGTTCACTAAACAAGTATGGTAACTTCAACCCGTTTATTTCTTGCCGATGTTTCTCAAACTTTCAAGGCGTTAGAAACTTGTCGAGCTGTCCCTACAGCTTTTTCTTTCGCAGCCGCACCATTAGGTCAATGCCCAATAAATATGTGTGATTGATAATTTAATAACTGCTGTAAATTAAACTACTTGATAAAACCAGCTCCTCAACTGCAGGCAAATAATTTTTTGGGGCAAAAAAGCCTGGAAACTTTCATGCCGAGTTAACAATCAACGCAGTACTACAGGGATAAGAAGTTTCATTGATGCGCTTACATTTCCCTTCAAGGACCGAAGATGTGCTTACCTTGCTTGGTTAGATTTCGCTATCGCTATGTCTTCTAAAGTTCCGGGATCAATAGTAAATTCCAGTTTTATTATATCCACTTTCATGGCTTCTTTGGGTGTGACGATTGGCCCACTGTCTGCCCTGTGACATGAGAGGCTTCGGTTAAGAAAGCTATGTTCTCTCCCTCTACTTATTATGAAAATAAAAATTAAATAATTTGAGCTCTATGTAACCATATGCTATCGGCGGAAATTCGCATTCAAATTGGTCAAATTAACATAGGAGTGAATAAGTTTTGATGAATTTAGAATAAATGCGTCCACATGTGCAGTGGTATGCGAGACCGAAATTTTGCGTTCAGACAACGTTTATGCAATATACTGACGTGAGCTACGCCGCCTTCGGGAGTGATAACTTTAACTACTACTGTGAATAAAATGTTTTTTCGGCCCTAAATTTTAATCAGTAAACAGAAAGCACTTCACCCCTTAACGCGAATTTTATTTTGTTTCTTTCATTTTTGTTATTGTGACGTTTTTTCCGTCAATTCTAGTCAGATTTTTTTATGAAGGACTTTTTATAGCACCCCCGCCGGTAATGCTATTGTCGCAGCCTTATCTTTTTTTTTTTTTTTTGGGGGGGGGGGGGGGGGGGAGGGGTTTAGGAGTTGCACAAAGTAACTTTTTTGAGACTGCACATTTCGAGTCTTCCATGCTAAATGTGTTGGAAAATGACGCGTAGAGTTTCGGGCTATTAACTACCTTAAGAAAACTTCGCTCCCTCGTTGTTCCCATCCAAACTAAGGCTCATCTTAGCTAGCGCCGCTCAACCTCGCTTGACGCCATTCAGAATTTAGCTCGTGCGAAAGAGTAAGTAGAGCGTGCAGGGCCAAGCCCCTAAGGAAACATAGCTTGTTCCAGCTCACGAAATGTGAGCAACACTGACCAACAGAATTCTGCTTTTGCAAGTGGGAATCAATGCAGATGAGGTAAGAAAAAAATTAGGAAGTTCGCTCGCCATGTTACGTTGGAGTACTACACGCCCTTTGCGGCGCCAAAATCTGGATAATATGCCACGAGGTACAAATGAGCTGCAAAGCCAAACTGCGCATGCGCTCGCGCGTTCCGGTCGAGGACGATCTAGAGTTCAGATTTCGGAATAGGAATGGAATCCTGCGGAAGTTGATTGCATGAGACTACTAAGATAACTAACATGGAGAACATAACCTTAGACGTGTATATTCAACGGCAACGTGAAATTTATTAAAAATCATTATCTTGATGTGAACTTACATGTAAGCTTTGCAGAAATCAGCGAGCGCAGCCCCCATAGTAGCGTCAATCGATGAGTGTTCAAACAAAATTCCCGTCAGGCCTTCTTTTCCTACAACAAGCTGTAAGAATTTAGAGGTATGTGTCATCACAATATACTAGCAGGACAACAGTAATGGGATACGCGCTAACTCTTCGTGCTTTTGTTTCTCGTTTTTCTTTTTTTTTTCGGGAGCCAATTGAGAGAAAGTTGCTCGAAAAAAAAGCAGAACAGCGTGATCTGGGAGATATTGAAATGATAAGTTTGACTCCATTCTAACTTGTGCGCTCCAAAAGAAATTGGTGGTGTTCAGTTCTCTTACTTTTATGAATATCCAAGTTAAGAAAATTATTGTTGACAAGCATGATTACAAACTGTATTATAAACGACTTATAACTGAGTTGACTAAATATGATAATAATAAGAAGAAGAAGAAAAATATAAAGATGAAAAGATTAAAGAGATTTGAAGTAGAAAAATATTTACAATTATAATATTTTGTTGCAGTTTGAGTCGCAACGGAAAGGCAATAGGTAAACGCATTTAACCTGAAACGACCCCACCACCGTTTTACAGTGCACAGAGTGAAGAAAAAAGTAAAAAACAACGTATAAATATCTTAACAATAAATATAGCAGAATATCCCGTTATCACATCCCCCCACCCTTCTTAAGTACAAAGAATCTTATACACAAAAAGGTAACTCATAATATCTCATCATTAGCAGTCAAAGAACGGTGAGAGCTAAAAACGTACAAGTCCAAAGTACTTTGTGAAACATAAAGTGAAAAATAAAACGGGGGTGAATGCGGTAATGACGAATAATGTGAAACTCAACAAAAACGCTTTAAATATAAAACTCAGAATTTGACATAAAAAAATGCAATGCAGATAAGGTATACGCTTAAAAGCGGAGCTTTGGCTTTTAACCCCGGCTTCCCTTGCTCGTACAAATAGAGATAAACCTTTATTTGAATCACAAAGAACGTATTTTGTGGGGATTCTAAAGAAGGCTACTAAACACTTGAGGAAGGGAAAGGAGACAAAAACGATCAAAAACAAAAAAGCGGGGGTTGCTGCTAGGTTGAGTAGCTGCTTGTGGCTCTATTAAAGCGTGAAATGCTTTTTATCGCTACACCCAATCCCAAAACATTGTTCGTCCTTCCGTCCGTCCTTCCGTGTATTTTCCGCTAAATTTAGCAGGGAAAGTTGCGTCACATGGGGTCACTTGACGTCACGTGACCTATACAGCTTGCAGATATTGATGGCACGTGACCTATTCGTCAACTCAGTTTCCCTGCTAAATATAGCGGGAAAATCGAAGTCTCGTGGCCAAAACATCAACTCAGTTTCCCCCTCTAAAATTAGCGAGAAGTTGACGTCACGTGAATTATACAGCAATTCAGTTACTCGCTAAATTTTGCAAAAAATGCATGTCTTGCGACCCAAACACCAATCCAATTCCCCCGCAAAATTTAGCGGGGGAAATTTATGTCGCGTGACTTGACGTCACGTTACCTATACAAAGATTAAGCTTCCTTGCTAAATTTATAGGAAAATAAACGTCGCTTGACAAACCAATTCCCTCGCCAAATCTCACTAATGCAATAAAGGGGAAATTTTTGACAGTTGCTGCCAATTGTTTTACAATATTAGGTCGAGCCTTTTATTTTGAAGGGAATGATTCTATAAACTCGTTCACTTGACCATTGCCAACGTTGATGTCCACGTCCTGATTACATCAGCAACCGTGGGTGTTTCGTGGTTTTGAAGCGAGTGAAACGTTTTAAGTTTGTTATATTCGTTTGAATAAAAAGTACAGTAGCAGAGGACATTTTCAAGCATTTCTATGACGTCACACTTTTTGGAGTAATGTAAATCCAGAGTGCCAATGAGGCGCAACTAATAATATTTTGGAAATTCACTAACCAGTCCTTGGTAGAGAGCTGTTTTGTCTGAAGTTTAAAACGCCGTATTAAATCTATGCTGGGCAGGTGTCAGCAATAATGAAGAGGGTTCGTCCAGGAGGAATTACTTATTTACCCTAATGACCCTTAGGGGAATCGCAAGGTGTATGTGTGTGTGTGTGGGGGGGGGGGGGGGCGATAGTACAAAGTTTGGTACAATTGAGTCAAGCGAAAAAAAAAACGATTGCATAGTCGGCATAAACAATGTTAAAAAGCAATAAGCAATATAAATAAGAAGAAGACTGGATGAAAACAGAACACAAAGCAGCATTGTATAAGTTTTTACATAATACTTCAGCGGTAATTAAGGCGATTTCTCTGGGTAGGCTGTTTTATTCGGAGATGGCAAGAGGCAGAGGTGAGGTTTTCAATAAGTGAGTGCAAGCTAATATTGGCGGTACATTAAAGTGATGATCTATGCGAAACGAAGTACGATGAACAGGCTGAATGAATGAGGTCCTAAAGGGAGATGATCCATACTAGAGCTTGTGGAAAAATGACCCCATCTGTACTGCAGTTGGGTTAGGTTCAGGTAACTTTTTATATTAGACACACTGAAAGTACGCCAAAGAAAACGTAAATCTCGCAGCTCTTTTTTTTTTAATGCTTTAACATGGTTCATTAAGTACAGCTGATGCGGGTGCCATATGATGGATGCATATTCCAACTGCGACCTGAAGAGGTTAATACGGGCGAGGAGTTTTGTTTCATTGTTAGCTTGAAATAAAGAGCGTTTAAGAAAACCAAAAGTTATGGATGCGTTGCGGGTTACATGTTCAATATGAAGGTTCCATGATAAGTTAGCCGTCAGGTGGACGTCGAGGTATTTAATTGACCCAACGTTTTCAACGCAGTCCTCTCCATTCATGTACACGTAATGAGTGATTTCGAATTTCGTTGTAAATGTGACAGCCTTAATTTTGTTCGTGTTTATTTCCATTAACCATATAGCGCATCATTGCTTAGCTATGTCTAGGTATCACTGGAGTATGAAAAACACAAGGGGTTAGAATTGACCCGACAAATGTCGCAATCATCCGCGAAGAGACGTATAGCATATTGAATATTCGCCGTGAAGGTCATTCATATATAAAAAAAAAAGAAAATGCCGGACCGAGGATAGAGCCTTGAGGGACTCCATACTTCACCGGCACAGGAAAAGAGACACACTTGGTAATTATAGCAGAATAAGAAAGTTAAAAAAAAAAATAAACATTTCTCCACTGAATAACAGAAGCGTTTATATTTATAGTTTCTCATGTGTATATTAGTCGTTATGGGGATCCCGATCTAAAGCTTTAGCAAAATCAATAAAAATAGCATCGGTGCGACAATAGGAGTGAACAGAAAGGCGAAGGTCAGTAATCAATTCGAATAGTTGTCTTTGGCAAGAATGACCGCGTTAAAATTCATGCTTATTAGAGAGAATAAGGCTGTTAGAAGATAAGTAGGTCATATTCTGGGGTGCGAGTATATGTTGTAAGATTTTACATGAAACCGAGGTTAGCGCTATGGGTATGTGGTTCTTGAATTTTTGTTTTATCAGCTAAGTTATCAATTTGCCCGTAAAGAACGTTTTAACTCGTGAAATGAACCAGTCATCCCGATATAAAAGAGTACCAAATAAGGGCACACATTAAAATATTATATGCTATTATTTGTTTGTTAAAACAATTAATATGTTGAACTAAAACCAAAAGCGCTACCCTGTAGACTTACATCACGTGTTTCTTGCAACAGTTCTACGAGAATGCATGCAGCGTGCCATGGACAATTTTATACTTACTCTTCGGGGACCATGCACATCTCATCGCATTTTTCCCGAAGTCACTTCTATGTGCAGACTGCCTGTGCTTGAGCACTTGATATATATGAAATTGCCTATTGACGTCTTCTGTTATTTTTTCTTTTTTTTTTTTTTGAGAAACTATGTTTAGGTATAAATGTCCAGTATTGCGGATACAAATAGAGCACGTCACCTGTATCGTTTCCCATACCGCACCGAAACGAAGAAAGGCAGAATAACTAGGAACACCAAAACATGCAGAGCACAGCTGTCACCAAAGACAAATCCACAAGCTAGCATGTGACTTCTTCTCATTTAATCACCTGAATAGTTTTGTCCCACCAGCGGTTAGCTGCATTCTCGCCGTCTTGGCCACCCGCAAAAAGTTGCTGGCCAGAGGTTACCTCGTAAGGCTCCGAGTTGCGCAACTTGCGGTCTAGGCACACCGCAAAGGCAGCCTTCCTTATGGTTTGTAGCGACGCAGCGTTCCTAGGATCTGCGACCAAGTGTTTGGTGTGGCGTCAACGGTAGCTCTGAGACAATCTGATAAATTGTAATCCACAAAATTCGATATTCAACATTCACATCACACGACATGGACGGCTTGGGCGCCCTCCCTTCCCCCGCCCCCCTCTCTCTCTCTTCTCCATCTCTCTCTCTTTCACACACACACACACACACACACACACACTCGCGCGCAGTAGAAAAATTCGTCATTACATACGATCATGGAAACGTATGATATATCATGTTTCTTCTCTGGTGCTTTGGAGCGATGCCAGCTTAAAGAGACGAGTTTCAGTGCGAAACTAAAACTTACTGGTATATGGTTCAGTTGCGAATATTGTACAACATGATCCAAACGGTGCCGTTTCTTTTTGTGTCCCAGCGCAACTGCCCGTGCTCTCACAAGCACGGGCCAGTCTCGCATGCCCCCGGATTCTCTTCATTCTTTCAGCCCCACATCCTTCCTCCTTCTGAGGGTAGGATGACCGGTGCAGACTTTGTCGCTGTTTCAGATATTGATGAGTTGCACGAAATTTGTCCTTAACGCTTCCACATGAATAAGGACTAGTTCTAGTTTCATGTGACAATGACAAGCCCATCAATTTCAGGAGTTGCCAGAAAGTCTATGCACAAATGGGCTATTGCAAGCTCTGTCCAAGACCTCAGAGAGATGAAAGCAAGCGAGTCGAATTCTCACGAGAACCCTGTTACGGTTGCGGGCGAAGACCGTTTCGGTCCAGCTGTGCATTGCATTGAAGCCTCGAAGGATCAGTGGCAAAGAGTCATTAAATTCATTTGCTAGTTCAACTCCACTCAACCTATTTCCTTGTATTGGACGTTTGCTTATAATGTTATGGTGATCGTTCCGGACTAATAAAACATTAACTTTTTAAACTTTTCAAACACAAGACTAAGCTTCTGAATCTATATGAATCTTTTTTTTTAGACCCTAACAAAAGTTCCAGATGGGCATTTCTACAAAAAAGAAAAGAACAAGTGGACGGCAAGCTATATCCGCTTTTTTTAGTTCCTTTGTTTTTTTCTTTGCAACTGAAAACGAGGAAAGGAGGACACCAAGTGATTGTTGCCTCTTCGAGAAGTTAGAGGCGGTAAACGCACAGACAAGAAATGACAATGTCCCTCTCGTTTATACTGACTCCGACCATTTTCATAACGTCACAGCAGGAGAGAGCGCTCCGTCTGCCTTAAAATGCACTAAAAGAAACGTGTCAATATGTAAGGTTGTCATTTCCATTTGCATCCTCGTTTGTTGCTGCACATCTTCTCTTAGAATCAGGATTATTTTTTCTGCTTCTTTTCACCTTTTTTGACCCTAGTTTAAAGCTACTTGTTTTTTCTAGTCCAAGTTCAAGGGTTCGCCTACTTTATTTGTGAATTTTATCCAAGTTATCTGCATCTCCGTCACAATTCTTGTGAGTCAGCTTTCTGCGAGCACTTCACAAATGATAATAGTCTTTATTTTATTTTTCCCCTGTTTTTACCCCAGTAAAACACATCTTATCTCACGCAGAGATTTTTACAAATATCACAAACTAGTGGTCCATATGTACTTGAGATTCCGGGCTTGGGGAGAAAGGAAAACTTGTGAGTGGGGCCATCGTGCGGCTTAGTTTGCTGCCCATCGCTGCCCGTCGCATCAGCGGACGTCTATCTGGAGAACACCGGGGCAAACAGCAGTTGATCCGTGCTCCTTGCGTTTTTGAACGGCATTAAGAAAGGTAAACACGGCAAACGCCCGTTTACATTTTCTTGTTTTTTATGACGTTCTAATTAGTTGTTGTAATGAGTGTTCTGGTTTTCTTTTTTTTCTTATTACTTATTCTTATATGTTGAAAACGTTTGCTAATTCACCAACTTCTCAACCGAGCCTCAACCTTTTCAGAAACAAAGGAACAAGAATATTGATCCAAACCATATTTATTATTTCATTATCACTTTAATGTTACAAACTATGCTTTGGTATTGCCTGGTAATATATGCCGGTATATTGTCGGTCACAGCTCCAGAAGACAGTGCGAAGGAAAGGAAGGTGGGAAAGGAGGAAATGGACGCAACGCTGGCGAGGGGAGGAGGAAGCCCTCTCTCTCTGCAGCGTTGTGCCCGCTTCCTCCTCTCCCACTTGCCTTTTCCTTGCCCTACCTTCTTAACCTGCAACATACTGTAGTAAGACCTACATCAATTAATTCTTATTCCAGTTTTGACTAGTTGAATGAAGAATTCTACAGCGACCCCGATTTCGACAATAGAGAATTTCAGTAGATCGTTCCATGACCCCGATAACCATACCCAATACTCTGCCGCCGCCTTTTTCACATGTATCATAGAGTTATCGAGTATTGTTATCAGGGGTATCGGAGGTATCGGAATGATCTAATAAACTCGAATATCAGCCAATGGCTGCAACGACGCGGCTTTGCACTATCTTCGAGGTAAAAATACTTCCATTGCTTCACTGAAGAAGCTGAATGCAGAGCCTGAAGCATTGTAAGGCACAACATGGCACACCCATCCAGTGCCTCAGCTTAAAGGCTGCTCAGCATAAAATCGACATCTTCAGTAAGAGATGACGCAAACAATAAATGAAACAGGTGATTACAATAATATTTGTTAACCCATTTGTTTCTTACGTGCGGACAAAAATCCTGGAAGTAACGTCACGAAAGTAAAGGATAACTTTTTGGCGTAACGGTCAGTTACTGTGATTGCAAGGTAATTGTAATTGTAATTAATTTCAATATGGTCTTCAGTAATTGCACACATAATTCTTTCCTATTTTTCAAGAAACGTGTAAACGTCTGCCTGGGTGCACTCTTGACTCTCAGGATGTCTCCTAGCCGCAAATAGCTTAAGAGAGGCAGGGCGGGGTAAATCCCAGGCGTTTTATTACAGTTCCGCAGACAATTCAATCGTGGCATAAGTAGACAATAGGGAGCTTTAGAGAACCGTATTTGCGCATTTTATGCCGTACAATCGGCCCTCCAGTACGAACTGCGCATATGCGAGCGTTCTGCGGTAGCGCATGCGTAGTTCGTACCGGAGGGCCCATCGTATCGTATTGGATGTGCGAATCCGGTTCTCTAAAATGCTCTAATAACTCTAAAGAATGAATCACAGAGAAGGATACGTGAACACAAGACGCCGCGCCCCGTCATCTTAGGCTGTCAGGGGCAATGGAGTGTATATTCTTAAGGCTACAACAGGCAAAAGATGGGAAGGAAATCTGTATTTTCCTAAACCAAACGTATGTGGTTTAGTTTGGATCTAGCTTATTATAGTACGAATTGTTTATTTCATGCTTTAATATCAGTGTTAAGGGTATATTTTGGTATAGCTGTGCACCCATGATAAAAAATTTTGCATTTATCTTATCTTCTTTTCAATCCCTTCATCCCCTTTTTGCAAGTATATATCGCGTTAGCAGAGGTACAGTAAAACTATATACTTATTGTACCAACAAATAAAAAAAACGATTGTCGTGATTGAGACATAAGGGTGTTTCAAATCTTCAGAGTAAGCTAACGCGAGAAATTAACTTTTCGTTTGTTGATGACTCCCCCAGAGGTTTCTGTAAAACACCATATATGGTTTGTTTTACTTTGCTATAATAATAATTGGCTCGTAAAATAAATCTTCAGTTCTCCTTCAGGTCCTATCAGATGTGTTCTGTTGGCTGGGTATTCAAATTTTAAACAAATTTCATTTATTGTAAATGGTACGAAAACGATGTGATGAAATGCAATCTTTGACTGATAAGCGTGTACATTTCCGGATTAATAAAATCTTCAACGTGTCGATTTTTGTTTATTTTTCGTTTAATATTTTAAGACCTCCGAACTTACGTTAGCGTTTATGAAATTGCTTTCTAAAAGTCATCCAGGTGTGAAACTTATAACGTAAGTAAGCAATATGAGAGCACACCTTAAAATTATTAAAGACAGCTCAAATTTAAGGTTCCTCTGTATTCTTAGTTTCCTTGATGCTTGTCTAGGAAAACATTGTAGAACCTAAATGCCGGGAACTCTTACATTCTATTCGTATTGGTTTTGCAGCTAAAGGCCCATTCTAGTTTTCCAAAATTAATCAATTGCATATACGAATTAAATTGTATAGTTGCAACCAGAATAACAAAGAACAACGAACTTCAGAGTATATTTTAAAGTAGATCCTGTAGAGTGAGAAAATATATGTCATTTCCATTACCCATGAATTATTTAAAGCACTCTCTTGTTTAGTTCTTTAATCCATGTGTGAAATTACGCCAGATAGGAAAAGGGGAATGAAGAAAAAGGAATACAGTTCGTGTGTGAGTTATTCCTGCGTATGATTTTTCCTTTTTGATTCCTTTGTTTTACGCTGAGACAACGTGATGTAAAATGTTGTACTCCGCAAAGGTTTCCATTCCTTAAGACACCTTAAAGAACGAAGTAGTGATTTCATTCTCTTACTAAGTTGCACAAAACAAATTTAAACTTTGTTTAAAAGGTGTAACGCCATTGTTTGTCCCTTCTAAAAATACACGGACAGACACCAGTAAGATTCCATCTTTATCTATGAAATAACAACGCTGAAATTTGAGTGCTCTTTAGGAAACACACTATACACATTGTGCGAAACTATTGGTGTGAACACAACATATATTCGTTTTTTAGAAATTTCATTGGAAACACTATTTGTGGGCACCAAGTTTCAGAACCTATGGTAGTGCCAAAATGAGCACCTCTCCAGACTACAAGCCTTTATCAAATCTTTTGGGTTTTGAGCGAAAATCATAAGATCCCGCAATCGCTTGTTGGCTTCAACAGTTTTGCGCGAAGTTCCAATTGCTTCCCTCTAAGCACAAATTTACATGTATAGCAAAAGACAAATAGAGAAAAATTAAGATGTAGCTTACTTTGGCATAGTCTCTCGTGGGCCTTCGCCCAGGCGTCCCTTTCGTCGGTCGTTAGAACCCCAATAGGGGTGCCGTCCTCCTTTGACATGTCGGCAACCCGAAGCAACAGCGCCAGTATCATTCCTTCGTCGAAGGGGACACCTCTCTCGTCGTGCGCATTGAATACAAAGAACTGCACAATGCACAACATAATTTACTGTCAAAACATTTCGCAATAAAAAATTGCGTATTTCAGAAAAATGAATACGGAATTTCAGCCTTCATCTTGCAGGATTAAGTACGGTTCACATTAATCATTTCGCCTTGCTATATTTAAAAGACCTATGCAGCACAGACTTGAAAGTAACTTAGCACTGATGTAGCTCTGTAGCAGCGCATTGTTCGTAATCTAGCGCGAAGTCACCGTGGAATCAGTAATGCCAGTTCCATTTTCGGAGCTCAGTAATTGCGTTGATAGAGCGCTGTGACTTAAGAGTGGACAGTTATTTCCCAGCATAAAAACGGGGTTTTGTTAATTTATTGTCTTCCATGTGATGTGAACCAATTATTTTATTATTGCAGACGTCAAAGACTAGATAACACACACATTCTTTTAACATTAGATTTGCAAAAATGCTAGTTATTGAACTTTGATGTTGGTTCTGCCGAGCGAGGTTTCGCTGAATCAGCGTTAACTGAAAAGTAATGTACCGGTTATCCAGCGCTGTATTATCGCTGTATCACTAATATAATACGAAGTTAGCGGTGCGTTAGCCAATTGCGCACTGTTTCCAGCGCCAACGAATAGCAATGAGGTAGCGCTGTGCTCTACGTGTGAAAATGCTTTAATAATATCCGGTAAGCAACAATGTTCTTTGAGGTAAAAAAACACGCCATATATTCGCTATTTATGGCTGCTACAACAACACTTTAAGAACAAAGCTTCATCATAAGGCACTCGGTGTGGTGAAACGTTGCCCCATACCTAACCCCTCGGCCCAAAATTGCTACCGTACATATTCAGTCAAAAATTCTGTAGAAAAATATCGCCACCTTGTAAAACACGGCTGCCGATAAGCAACTGTCGAGCTAAGCGAGAAAGGCCTAGCGAACCCCACAGCTTTTCGGTGGAGCGAGAGAATGGGCGTATACGTGGACCAATTCTACGCGCCATCCAACCCTCTAATCGACGCAATCGGCATCTACTTTATCGAAGACAACGTCTGCTTAGTATAACCGACAAGGAATGTCAAGGGCGTGGTACCACCTTTAGGCAAGGATGATGAAGAGGCACGACACACACGAGCGCTGGCTGCAAACTTAGGCCCTAAAGCAAGTACCCGCCTAGCGTCCTCAGGGAGCGGCACATCACTTACAGTCCTGACGTTACGTGCAGCCATTGGACGCCTCGAAGATCTGTCAATGACTGCTGCCAGAGAAATTTCGTGCACCGATCCACGATGGCAACGAACTCCCATAGTCGTTTGCTGTCCGAATCCGGCTTGCTGGGGTCTCGAAGAACAGAGCACAATAGATCCCTATAGAGGCGCACTTGTCGTCGACATTCAGATCTCAGGATCTTGAGAATTCTTGTCCCATGACCGGCCGACGGAAGGAACCCACCAAACAGTCGCATACCATTTTTAGGCAGAAGCCTACAGCGAATGCAAAAGGTAAGCGTGCGAGCCTTACAGACCGCGTTGGCAAGGAGTGAATGTTGGGGAATCGGTGGCCGAGTGGGCTACCGCACACCAGCTCGCAGCACGTGGAGCGAAAGCTCGCGCTCCAGGAACCAGTATCCTGAGTTCGATTCTCACCCCTGCCCGTTTCAATATAGATGAGCATCGTACCGGCATGCGGTCGTGTATCAATACCGCGTGGTGCACGTTAAGACGACCCCAGGCTAGTGGTTGGACTGCACTGGCTAAATTTCTCATCTACAGCTGGGAGACTATAGTCGCCCGTTGAGGCAGACCAAGTTCTAGGCTGTCTAAACATAAACACAACCCAATTGTTTTTAGAGTGAATGTTTTAAATGTTACTCGTTGGATCATTTCATCGCTTCACTCCTTGCCAACGCGGCCTGCATCGCTCGCACGCTGGCCTTTTGCATTCGCTGTAGGCATCTGCCTGAAAGCAAATTACGCATCTGTATGCCGGGTTCCTTCAGTCGGCCGGTTATGTAGCAAGAATTCTCAAGACCATGGTATCTGAATGGCGGCGGCAAGTGCGTCTCTATAGGGATCTGTTGTGCTCTGTTCTTCGGGACCCCAGCAAGCTGGATTCGGACAGCAGACGACTACGGGAGTCATTGGACATCGTCGACCGGTGCACGGAATTCCTCTGACAGCAGTCGTTGACACCTCTTCGATACGGCATACCCAAGAAACGTCCAGTGGTTACATGCAACATCTGGACTGTAAGACATCTGCAACACCCTAAGGATGCTAGACGGTCACTTGTTTTAGGGCCTAAGTTTGTAGTCAGCGCTCGTGTGTGCCTTGTCTTTTTTTCGTCCTCGTCTAAAGGTGCTACCATTCCCTTAACATCCCAATGCGTCCTTGCCCAGCATCCTGCCTTGACAAGAAATGGCTGAGCACCTTCCGTCAACATTCACCAGAGGAGTTGCACCGACAAAAGCGCTGTTTCTTCGTTCTTTCATAGTTCATTGCGTGCGTCTATCTTTACAGACGTGAGTTATTCATTTGTACGCATGTGTGCGTACACATCGCCGATTTTGAAGAAGAGAACGAAAATACAAGTATCCTTGTGTCGTTAACATTCAGATTTTTATCAAACCAAATAGGAAATTTGTTTCAGTCTCTTTCATAATCAGTATATGAGACACCTGAACGCTCAGCTTTTCGAAACAGGCGCCAACTTCCGTCAACTATCGAGCACTATAAAATTAAAAAAAAAAAAACGTTCTCGTCATCGAAGTGGCTTACACAAGCTCGGACAGCCGGAAGCAAGCATCCCGAGTATAAATCCACCTACAATTATACAGGCAAATGTAAGCACTATAACGCACGCACACACCTACCATATGAACACTCGGCCTTCCTGAACTAAATACTTATCCAGTTCGTATATGTACCTGTAAAGTTTCCGCCTCTGCTTAGGCTAGTGAGTGCCAACACTTACTTGATAATACACGATGTCTTTGTATATGTTACTGGTGTACAAAAGCTCGACACAGACGCCGCTTCTTTTAATCTATCGCTTTGAATAGCAACACTCTAAGAAAACAATGTGCTGAAATCGCTTTACGGGGCATGACTCCAGTCAGTTTCGGTTTTAGTTTTATGCAAGCCCGGCTCAGTCACTCAATCTTGGTGGCCCCTTGTTTTCTCCGCGCTAGCTCCTCTAAGATGCGCGCATTACGAACATTTAACTATTTTGGAAGTGGTAACCAGAAAAATTTGCATTCCTCAAATACTTGTTTTATGTTTCATCCAAGTCAGAGATGCAATTCACGGTTGCTACCCGCATTTTTGGCCAAAATTGTTTTTCCAAACATTTATGCTACAACCATAAAACATATTAATATTGGTGGTTTCGAAATTAAACAAACCCTACCTTATCAAAAGAAAGAAAATATGAGTTTATTTTGGGTCATTTAGTTTACCGTTATCAACTGCCTCCGCTTGAATGTTTGATTTCAAGTAACCATCATTCGTTTTGATCTAAGAATTGTTGAACATTCTACGATGGCTGGGCGTCGGGCTGGTTGGCAAGCCTTTGGGGTGGTCATTGCCACCAAAAGGTCATTTTATGTACCCCGAGTCGTTCTCATGTTTTAATGTAGGCTACACAAAGACTGCTTATTTCTTATGGTTTCCATTTCTAAAGGAAAAGCTGTATCCGCAATATATTCGAGAATGCAAAATTCGCAGGACCGCAGCACACATGAAAGCTAAGCTTCTATGTCGTCAAATTTGCAGCAAGTGTGCAGCGTACATAGATAGAAACGAAATCAACATTGCCATACCTGATTGTTGCTGATGATGAGCACATTTTTTGAAGACTCGTCGTTTAGCGAGGTGAACTCTAGTTTGTCACAGCCAACCATAGGCACTCGACAAGTGCCAAAGATGTTCTTGTACTGCGTCATGTCGAGAGGAGTTGTGCCGAGGACATCAGGTTTTAAAAGGTTCCTGTATAGGCATATTCATTAGCGTTAATTACGTCACAGGTATATTCATGAGCTGTACAGTGCGTTCGCGTAACAACAACTTCAGTATTACTAATCCTAGTGAATGATTTCATAGTTGGAAAGTACAGAAGAAAAAAAAACATGAAAGGAGGAAAGAGAATGTGGTTAACTATGGCAGTGCGTCACGGAGTCGTGAGGTCTATTCGCACCGTGCATTTTTTTGGTGATTCTATTGTCGCAAAACTAGGTTTTGGGAAACAACTGCGCCGTTTGGCCGAGAGGGCAAAAGACGCACGCATCCCCAAAAGAATGCACGCGCTCCTGGCTCTTGTTGCGAGATTCAGCTGAGACCTCACCGATGCCTATCAATCGCCCGAAAAAGAAACGCGGAAGCTGCTCATGGCCGCTGGACATCGCTGTGGCGTCTGATCCTCGAGGCGGTGCGAGCTTCTGGAGGAACCTTATTGTTTGTCCGATTCCTTATCCGAGGAAAAACTGAAATCAATAAAAATTCGCAGCGAACTTTATCTACAAAATCCTATATTTGTAGCCTTTTCCTCATAAATGGCGTAGAATTTTTTTTTTTTTTCTGAAACGAAGGAGTTATTTTCGGCTGTGCATTCAGGTTGGGCTCTCGGGGTGGACTCGGGCCACCGGCTGTTCACCGCCAATAGGGTGTCTGAAGGTGGAGGTGTGCTTAGGTGTGCCCATTGTCTGCATCGACTCAATCGAGTGATCCAGGACGGAAGTAGATGGCGCAGTCATTCAATTTGATAAACATTTACGCCAAGAATGACGCGCGCTTTGCCGTGTAGCTGCATGTGCTGAGATCAACTGGTACCGGTAGCGGTCTATAGTACTAAGTTGCTGATCACAACGTATCCACCAATTGCGCTCCATTTTATTTGCTTCGGCGGCCTGCCACTATGAGAAGAAAATCAGGCCTTCCTGAGATCTATAGCACGCAGACAATCGATACAAAACTTTAGTAGTTCGACTAAGGGAATACCTGCTGCATGGTGCTGTCCTTGTCAAAAATGTATGATGCCTTCGGGAAATCTTGCAGCGTCTCGGCTAATAACTTGGATGTTCCGGTTCCCCCTGACTAAAGCTACTTTAAAAATAAAGCTCGAACACTACTCACTTGCTGTCTAGATAGCTATCTGATTATATTTTTGTTGTTTTTTCAAGTCTGAAAGCGGATTTTGCCTTTTGTCGTAGAGAAGAGACAATTTTATCCGTAGTGCTATGTGGCCGGGCTATCACTCTGGCAGAGAGCGGTAACATTGAATAGTATTTTCTCCTTGCAGGCGTGCTGCAACAGCGGAAGTACGTTGAAATTCCTATGAACACGTGTACTCGTGCAGAGCTTTTTGCAATTTTTCTCTTTTTTCACTGTGGTATTGAATGGAAAAAGAACGTGGCTTTGTCAGCGTTTAAAGCGCGACAGGTCAATCTGCCTCTGAGATTCGGCAGCATATTTCAACGCAGTGCAGTATCCAGTGTGGTCTGAGACTATTAACCTGGGATCTTCGACGTGCTCCACGGTGCTATGATTATACAGCCGTCATGTCAAACGAACCACTGGCGCGGCTCAGGTAGATACTGACAGAGCTGATCTATTATGTTTGCACGAGTTTCAATCCCAGCGCCTCACACACGTCCTAGAGCCGTGAATTATTTATCTCAATGAACAAAAATTACAGTGGGCTACTCCGAAATGTGCGGCCATAGTTCAGCGAGGCTTTACCAGTCGATTCACGATGTACCGAAGTCTACGCTAAAGCGCGCACCGCACGCTATACCGCCGGTGAACATGGGCTATACTCGCAAGGTGCGTGGGAGTTTTCTCGTAAGATTAAGGTGCCCCTTGTGTGCATGCGACAAAGCCTACACGTGTATAAATGCTCTGCCACTACACACGGCTCCTGAAAACTAAACAGTTATGAAGCTAACCTTAGTAAATGCTGTTGTAAAAACGGGGCCGAGAATGTGAATACGGTACCGCTGCCGGTCGTCACGCGTGTTTCCACGGTTCTTTGTTATCGCCTTCTATGCTTGTTCGCGGAGTGACTACCGATCTGGGGACTCGGCGAGAGCGAGGCCAGGTCGCACGTTATTATAACTGGAATGGCTGCCCAAGCTCACTCCACAATTAAAAGTGAGGGTGCGTCGTACGTTCTTATAGCTGGATTGGCTGCACTGACCATGCTCTTTCTACAACTAAAAGTGAGAGCGCGTCACGCAGCGGCGAGACACTGCTCGTTGGAATGGCATCGCTAGCGTCATGGTCGTTTTTTTCTTCATCATCATCATAAAGCCTTAATCTGTGCCAATAAACAACCAACCACGCCTGCAATGTGGCACGGTGAAATATTTGCCCATATTGGTAAAGGACACATGCAAAGGAAAAAAAAACATTTTTTTAGATAGCTTAGATGGAAAAAGGATGTCATAAAACAATTTTACAACGAAGAAAAAAATTTTAGAGCTATATTTACGCGCTATACGAATTTGTAGTTGGCGCTTGCGGGAGCCGCCGCAGGTCACGTGGTAGGCCCACGCGCCGCCGCGCTGCGTCGCGGCCGCACGCTGAGCGTTGTGCGAACGCCGCTTCAACGCGTTTCTCCACGCCGCCGCCGCCGCCGCCGCACAAGTTCGTCTTCTTCGGGGCGCCGCCGCCGTCGTCTGACCGGCGCGCTGGTCTATCACGTCTGCTTGCGCTTTTTCAGGACTTTCCTTTGGGCTCTAAAAGTTACTTATTCATCTTAGTTTTTTTTATACTTCAAACAAAGATGAATAAGTACCTTTTAGAGGAAATAGGAAGCTTCCGAATGAGCGCAAGCACCACGTGACAAATATGGGCCCGTCACGTGATAAACAAGGGCCACTTTTTCGTGGCGCCCGCCGGCACAAACTATAAATTCGTATAGCGCCGTAAATGTAGCTCTAAAAATTTTTTTTCGTGGTTGTAAAATCGCCTTTATATCCTCTTTCCATGTAAGCTGTTTAAAAAAATGTTTCTTTTACTTTGCCTGTGTCCTTTAACGCGACAGCCTTTAGCAGCTCGTGTCACCGCAGAGCCGGCGTCGGCGTCTGCGAGACGGGAAAATTGCCATTGGTCACTTTGGTCGTGAGGTAACACCCATGTGTGAAGTTACGGTTCACGTCACACGAGATGTTACGTGCAGCTGTGACGCCATGCCACATGACCTCGCGCGAAATTTTCAAAAACCTCATTTGTGACGTCAATCACACGTGTGACACACGTGACGTCAAGCGATTCGAACTCGAGCCCTCCGGTTGCGAGCCTGACATGCTACCGACTACGCCACGCAGACACTCTTTAACGGCTTGGGAACGAGCGGGGGTTTATGTCTAGCTATCGCGTCCCACTCATAAACGGCCACTGGTTGGGACACGCATGTCACAAAATAAATTTTACGCCAAAAAACGTATTCTTACAGCAGTATAGACCGTTTTTTTTTTAAGAAGGGGGAGAGAGAAAAAGGGAAAGGGCTACCGCCGCTTTCCGCCTTACTGGTTGTGTAGAAAGAATGAAAGTCCCGGGGAATGAGAGGCTTGAGTCGGTGTTGGGTGTATGCAGTGCCTAAACATCGTTCGCGCTTTTTTTTCTGTTTTAAACTCGCAAACTTAATTAGAGCCACGGGCTTCGGTGGCGACAGTCACCCGGTCATCGGGACACCATTCCTCGGTCATAGGGTGCCCGAATAACGACAGAAAGCGTCGAATACTGTCCGAGGACCTATGTAGCGTGCAAGGAATCCGGCAAGGCGAGAGCGGCTGCAATGTCTTTAAGCTCTATCGCTTGCCACATGACCCCGGTCTCCGGAGGCAGTGGACGGGAAGACGTTTCCTCAACGCCATCCCTTCGACTGTGCTCGGAAGATTTTGTGAATGGAGCACGCACCGAACGCTGTACCGCCGATGAACATGGGGTACACTCGCAAGGTGCATACGAGTTTTCTCGTGATAATTGCTGTTTCAGCTTCTAAAATTTTGTAACTGAATTTATTTTAATATTGATAATTTGAAGTGGTGACTGACTCGATTTTATCATCTACAGTACTTAGTTGAATGCTCAATTCCGCCGCCGGGTGAGGGTGGAAAGTGTTGAGAAGTTAGTTCTATCGGTTTTCCTGAATCGCGATCTCCTCTGCGGTACCAGAGAGCCGGCAAAAGCGCTCCTTGAAATGCCGCTAATGTTTTTTTGTTTTTTTTTCGTTGATTGGGCGCTTTGAAGCGCTGGACAGTCGCTGCAGGGTGCGACCTGCGTTTTCGAATCCAGTGTGCACGTTTCTTTGTTCGAGTCATGACATCCGCCAGTGCGGCGACGGGGGGAACAGCGGCAGCGAACGTGTCAGCGATAGAAATCGCAGGTGAGTACTCAAAATATTGCATCAAATAGTAAAAAAATTCGTGGCAGCTTTGAGTTTTTCTGCGGTTCGATATAAGTACATCTAAAACGTCTTCGTCGTTCATATACAAGAAAATATAATACACGGACACGCAAGATAAAATCAGCGCTGCAAAACGATCTGCAGCAGCTCCGGGTGTTTAATGAAGTTAATTGAGGTTCCCGTGTCGTGCATCGCTTGTTGATTACTAAAAACGGCTTCGTTTAAATATTCCCATTGCAGGCCAAAATTTATAAATGGTTCATCATTTCCAGTCACGCGGAAAACGATGGAGCTCAACAACATTGCAGCAGCACTGCCCTTGCCGGATTCCATGCAAACTACATAGGTCCACAGACAGTATTCGACATTTTCTGTCGCTAGTCGTGCGCCTATCACCCAGCAATGGTGTCCCGATGACCGGGGACTGTCGCCATCGAAGACCATGGCTCGAATTAAGTTTAGGAGTTTAAAACAGAGAAGAAAGCGCGCACGAAGTTCTGGCACTGTAGGCACGCAACACCGGCCAAGCCTCTCAACCCCCCCCCCCCCCCCCCCCCCGAACCTTTCATTCTTCCTACACAACCAGCAAGGGGGAAAGCGCCGGTAGCCCTTTCCCATTTTCTCTCTTGCACTCAAAATGGCGCTACCCACGATAAAACGGTCTATATCCTGCGCAAAAAGCGATTATGGGTACAACTTTAAAGGGGTCATGAAATAAATTTGGCCTGAAAATCAATGATCTTATATTGGAATTTTACTAATTGCATGTTTAGCGGCCCAAAGGAAAGAGGGTACAAAGTCAAAAGTCTTTTGTTTTCAGTAAAATATTTTTTTACAAAATAGCAGGCTATTCTGTGCCTCCTTTCCTTCGAAAGATCTCCGCATTTACACTGTGATACATCCGTGCTGGAAAAGGCGCGTCAGCCGACCCCAGCTGACGCATCGGACACGAGCAGCTCGTCACTCGAATCCATGCGCTTGCCAGCAATCAATCCGAAGATAAGCATTTAAATTCGCGTTCGTGGCAAATGAGTGCCGCGACGGCACTTATCATCCCTTGCGTTTCGCGAGTTACAAGTTTCATTGTGTGCTTCAAAACGCGGTGAAAACTTGTAGACATCAAATTTGGTGAGGTACTACATGAGGTACTACTCATATTTCTATTTTGAGTTGTGGAGGAAAGTTAAGGAGGAAGAATTTGATAAATTATTTCATGGTCCCAATTAAGTGGTCACACGGCGTATTCCCCCCGGCACTGTCATCGCAAATAAGGTATCACCGGGTTTCCTTGTTGTCGTGGTTGTTGTTTTTGTTTGTTTATTAGAGCACAGCTCTTAGGCACCTGTTTCCGGCTTGAGCGGCGCCGCCGTCGCCGTTGGCGTAACCGCGTGGTGCATCATGGGACGCGTGATGTCACTAATGACGTCACTGATGACGTCACACGTGACATCACTGGTGACGTCACTGATGACGTTATCAGTGCCGATGATGTCACCAAGATGACGTCAAGTGACCTCTCACGTGACGTCAAACTGACATCTCACGTGTCGTCACAAAGACCCCCAGTGACGTCATGTGACGTCATTGTGACGACGTCATCGTCATCGTCATTAATGACGTCATCAGTGACGTTACCAGTTACGTCATGAGTGACGCCACAAGCGGAAAGGATTCCGCGCTAAACCTAACGGAAAAAATTTCCCTGCTAAATGTAGTGGAAAAAATCTGTGCTAAATTAAGCGGAAAAAAATTCTCTAAATTTAGCGCAAAGAATTTCCCTGCTAAATTTAGCAGAAAACATTTCCCCACTTATTTTATCGAAAACAATGTCCCCGCTAAATCTAGTGGAAAAATTACCTGCTAAAGTCAGGGGGAAAACTTTCCCCACTAAATTCCCGCCAAATTTACGCACGGTGCTCTCAGCAAAAATGTGCATTTTCTGCGACTTGGGCTATGCGCACGTCGATCCACACCCAAGTTAGTAGCGGGGGACTTTCCACCTTCTCCCCTCAGTACCCTTCACTCTTCCTCCTCAAGTGCTGCGCTCTAATTTGGCGGAACAGGGGATTGTAAACGTATTTCATTTTTATTATTGAATGATTGTCATCAGAACTAATATTGTTGTGGAACGTGTGCAGTCAGGATTCGTATAACCTAATTAGCTCTGAGTGCAGGTTGACCTTTTCGTTCGATAAATCAACAATTCTTTCTAAGCGCAAAATTATGAAGCCCACTAGCATCCTATCAAAGCAAAAAGAGAAAAAAAATCACCGAAGTCGTGCTCGCCTTAATAGTGTAGCGCGGTTAACATATTGGTTTCGTAGTCAGAATATGATTTACACTATAATGTTTCAAGAAAATTTGAATTGGCAAAAAAATTATTTAACAAGGCTTGCCTGTCACCAGTCATTTAAAATGGGTACTCTGTCTATTTGTGTACCTAGAGAAGCTAACTATATTTTAATACATTCGCTTTACCAAGAAAGCCATTGGTGCTGACGGTATTCCAAATTCATTTTTGATTCGCTACGCTGAGTGGTGCTCGAAATATTTTTACCTTATTTTCCAAAGGTCTTTAACAGAATCTGTCATTCCTGCTGAGTGGAAATATGCAAAAGTAATTCCCGTTCATAAAACTGGCTCCCTGCTACTTCCGGTAAACTATAGGCCTATTTCATTACTTCCTTACTGTTCGAAACTGCTAGAACATATTGTTTTTAAACACCTCGCGAGTTACTTAGAAAAAGATGTTTTTTTCTTTTCAAATCAACATGGTTTCCGTCATGGCCTTTCTACTACGACTCAGTTACTTGAAACAGTCCATGATTTCGCAAATATCCTGAATCGATCCAAACAAATTGACGTCATATTCCTAGATCTTTCTAAAGCTTTTGATAGAGAATCACATAGTAAACTTCTCCTTAAACTTAAATCAATTGTTCAAAACGAAGGTATCTTTCGCTGGCTCGAGAACTACTTACAGGACAGAAAGCAGAATGCACAGATCAACTCGAGTGAATCATCATTAGTCCCTGTTTTATCGGGTGTTCCGCAAGGGTCGGTCCTGGGGCCATTACTGTTCTCAATTTTTATAAACGATTTAACCGCTAATATTCTAGTACGTGTTCGACTGTTTGCAGACGATGTGGTTTTATTTACAGAAGTCAATGAAATAAGTGACCAGATTCGACTAAACACCTGCTTGTCCAAGATGGCGCACTGGTGCGACTCGTGGCAGATGTCATTGAATGTCAAGAAGTGTGTTCGAATGCATATAACTCGTAAATTAAGTCATCCTTAATTCGATTATTCCATTAATAGTACTTCACTAGCCGAAGTTACTTCTTATAAATACTTGGGTGTCATTATATCGAATGACCTACGCTGGAACACTCATATCATGTCTACTGCGCGCAAAGCACTATCCAAGTTATGGTACTTAAGATGAAATTTAAAACATGCCTCTTCCGACGTTAAATTGACAGCCTATAAAACTTTCATATTACCCATCCTAGAATACACTTCGGTGGTTTTGGTTCCGTTTACAAGTACCAACATAAACGTCCTCGAAAATGTTCAAAGAAAAAGTTTACGCTTGAATCATAATACATTCCAGCGAAAATATCCGTCTCTAAAGTGTACGCCCTTTCTGGGGTGAACTTACTAAAGCATAGACGCATGTTTACGAGAATAAAGTTTCTATTTGATTCATTAAACAACCGGTTCAAGATCGATATCTCTAAATATATTTCACCCGCGCCTCAAGGTTATCCCATGCGAAGTTATCATTGCAAAACGCTCAAAGAATTCAACAGTCGGATTAATGCATTTAAGTACTCTTTTTTCCCAAGGACTGTTCACGACTGGAACTCCCTGCCAAACGATATAATAACAGCATCACCAGAGTCGTCCTTCTTTAATAAACTCTGAGATTTTTGTGATTATTGTATCTGATGCTCATTTATGAATTTTTTTTGCGATGAACATAGTCTTTGTATAACGCTGTTTGTGTGTTTTTGGATCAGCTAGAACGAATATCCTTGTGCTTGTTACCTGCTTTTTTTTTATTATTGTTTTTGTGTACCCATATGTTGTAAACCACTCCTACCACGCCTCCTGAAATACGAGACAGTAGTGTTAATAAATAAATAAATAAATACTCTTCCCGGCATGCTACAAAGCACCCCTCCATTCCACAAGCTGTCAATGAGTGCGACGCCAAAATCAACATTTAATTTTTTTCCTGCTTTTAAGTGGCCTGGCATTACTGCCAGGCATATTTGAGGCTCGGACCGGCATTCTAGAAAACAGAGTACCTCGAGCATCTGTATATTTCAGCTGAGCGAAAAACGAGTGAGTTTAAACGGCATTCGTAAGACATCATAAAACCCTTTGTAATCTGTTTCAAACAACTTCTACTTTCCAAACCTGGGTCGGCCGCTCGTGTCACTTTTTCAGTGTAGCAGGCAGAAACTTTTAGTTAAAAAAACTGTGGAGACGAAAATAAAAAAAAGCCTCTGTAACCTGACAAAACAATATGGGCCTATTTATTATCCAGGTTTCAGGTTTGGTGGTTGAATAAGGTTAAGTTTGACAATAATAAACAACAATAAATAAAATGTCCTATTACCTTTCTAAATGGACACTGAACCACCAAAAATACATTTGAATCCCCTGAACATATTTATCTTAAAAACACATTCCTAGTCGCCCCCTCCCTCATAAATGAGTAAATATTTGGCGCAATGTTTTTGTCTGGAGAAATATGTGAGCATTTCCCAACCAAACATTCCAGAACCTACTCAAACTGTATATTTAGACTCAAATTTGTTAGCTAGCTTATTTATCCGAGAAGCCAAAAATTATTTTTGGAAGTTCAGTGCCTTTTTTTTTACGAGTCAATGTACGCAGTCGAGAGGCTCGCCTGTCAATTAGATATTTGAAGTTCAGCGCCGCCGCCGTGAGCCTTGCCGCGTGCCTGTAAAGAAATGTCACGACCTCAGTCGAAAATCAAGCATGCGAAACGCATCAATGCATTGCTCTATAAAAATCATGGAAGATATTTACTCAAGTTGCTCTGATGATGTGGCGAAGTCCTGTCGTGCGAAGGCCATTCCCGGAGTTTTAGAGATCACGGAGCCCCTGAACTTCAAGAAGGCGGTTTCCACAATCCAGTCTGAAACCTTTTATACAACCAGACTTGTACGTAGTTCAAAAACTCTACTCAAGTTACTGTAGCTTTACTACTTTCCCGTGTAGTTTAGTAAATTTCAAATGCATTTTAATTTCGGTAATTAGTAATTTACTTGAATCACTTTTTCTGAGTAACTTGTACTTAAATTACAAATTAATTCTAAATTTTAGTGGTAGGTTTGCTGGTAAACAAACATTCATGCACAAAAATAGATAAGATGTTGGAAGATCAGCAGATGCATGTGGCGTAGGCAGGGTGTGTGTATGGGGGGGGGGGGGAGGGGCGAGTGGTTTGGAGGGTTTGGAACCCTCTAAATTTTTCATAAGCCCCCCTCTGCAACAACCCTGCTACGATGCGCGGGGAGCGGACATACACGTCGCAAGTGAGGCCCAGTGAATGCGGGATTTGTGCAGAAGACTGGCATTTCTTTGTGTCCCGAAGCTCAAGGAGACTTGACGGATTTAAAGAAAAGTCTTGTCCCCGCTTCTCCCCAACCTAAGAATTTTCGCCCAACAGGATGTGTGCACACTGCAGCCTCACTCAAAGGAGTTAACAAAGTGCAGAACCCGCTCTAAGGCCCATCTGGTGCTCCCGTAGTTCGTGCTGTACTTGAATGATCGCGTGCTAAAGGGCAACGCAAAGGTGAGCTCTTTGCGCTGCCTTTACTTCCAAAAATCGGGATATGCAGGTTTTCCAAGATTTGAAGATCGTACGAGAAGCTTATTAACTCCCTTAACGTTTTTACAAAAAAAAACAAAAAAGATTAAAATATTACAGAAAAAAAGTTAAATTGGGAAGTACCTTAAAAACATGCTACTTAAAGTTCAAGTAGAATTAGAAAACTTCTACTTTACTTGAAGCACATTTTCTGAGCATGTATCTGCACTTTACTAAAGTAGTTTTGCCGGTAATGAAGCAAAATTCCCGACTTCAAAGTGCATTCTCCAAATTTGGAAACAAAAATATGGCGTATCGTCATGCGAAAACGCGCAATCGTGTTTCGAGACGTCATGTGGTCATTTCTCTGAGTGAAGTAACGGCGGCTATAACACCGATACAAATAAGTGGCTTATAAAAGTGTTGTGTAAAATAGATCGTCAGCGAGAGTAAAACAACTACTCTGTCGCAACTTGACCTTATCCAATATTTGCCGCATTTTCTAAAAAAAAAAACTGATGCTCCTTCGCTACCAATGGAGCAATGCGTACCAGTTAAGTAAAGTAAAAAAATACAGGGTATGAAAGGGCATCATGAAAGATTCTGTTATAAGTGTTTGTACTTTACTTTAAAAGTATGTTGTATTTATAGTACTTTACTTCACATACATTGCACTCGGCGTACTCACTACACTTCAAGTTCGTAACCCCTTATTAACTTTGAACTTTACTTCAAATACTTTTAGATGTACTTAACGTAACACTGTAAACAAGCAAACACTGTCTGCAAAAAGCAAGCTCAGGCAGTGCTAAACCTCAAAGTAGAAATGTTCAACATTGTAGAACCTGAGACGTAGGACAAAACGAGAAGAAAAAAGGGGACAACACAGACACAGGTTTCAAACTCAGCTGAATATTTATTACCACAGCCTCGCTTATAAGAAAAACAAACCACCATCCCTCGGAGCATGACGTCACACTGTCAAACACTATTTCACCCAACCTTTCTACAACCTCCTTCGCAGTTCGTAAGCACGATCAACAAGCCAACTCAGACCTAGACTGAATCACTTCCCCCAAACTTCAGACTTCAAACACCCAACTTCAACCAAAACTTCAAACACCCAACAAAAAAAAAAAAAAAAAGATTATTATTAACGCCTACACCAGGCGGGAAGCAAGTCTGAAGTTTGGGGGAAGTGCTGCAGTTTGGGTCTGAGTTGGCTTGTAGATCGTGCTTACGAACTGCGGAGAGGGTTGTAGAAAGGAAGGGTGAGAAAGTGTTTGACAGTGTGACGTCACGCGGCGAGGAATGGTGGTTTGTTGTTCTTATAAGTGAGGCTGGGGGAAACAATGTTCAGCTGAGTCTGAGACCTGTGTCTGTGTTGTCCCCTTTTTTCTTCTGCTTTAGTCCTACGTCTCGGGTTTTACTAAGTTGAAAGTTCACCAGCTCGCTTGCATCTTCTCTGTAATTTCTAGAAATGGTACATCCGCGGAACATCATTGACCAGGAAACAAAAAAGTACAAAACAATTAATCACGCAGAAGCAGAACCAGATATTATACAAGGGTGATTTCATTTGAAATCGAACACGCTTGTTGGGGTGGGTCTTTCGATTTTTTTTCATATATGTAATTGCCCCATTTCTGGAAAGAACAACACCGCTTTTCAAATTTTTTTAAAAAATATTTCGCTGCACAAAAAATTATTGAGTGGAGCAGGGTGAAAATCTGTTTTTTACTTCGTGATTTTTCTACCCACTTCTGTACGCAGGTACGAATACGGGAAGCATACTAAACTCCCACCGAGTTTTCGTGCTTTTGTATGTTATTTGAACTATTTTTTAGTTGAAAGGAAAATACTTTTGTATTTTTGTTTATTGAGGTAAAAAATGCCAAACATCGTCTCTTTGACAATGCAGTGACATATTCAGAGCCTTGTAACTCATGAGTTATTATATTTGTCACTTATTAAATACTATGCGGGTGTAGCCCTATACATGAGCTATCGACGGGAATAAGTTTAGTTTATTTTATTTTCACTAAATGTTTTATATAAAATTTGAAATATCGTCGAAAAACCAATATTTTGAACCCACTTTATCGAAAAAGGCCATTTTTTATTTCGTTCAATTTTTTATTATTGCTGCCGATCATATGAACTTTCAATTGGCTTGATGCGATTTCCCCCTTTTTTGTTGTATCTTCTCTAGAAGTGATCGAAATCACTCCCACGTGACAATGCGGGGATAACTTCACAGCCTTGTAACTCATCAGGTATTATATTTGTCGCTTACCAAATACTGTGCGGGTGTAGCCATATACAAGGAGTATCGATGGGCATAAGTTTAGTCTATTTTATTTTCACTGAATTTTTTATATAAAATTTGAAATATCGTCGAAAATGAAATTAATTGATATTTTGAACCCAATTTATCCAAAAAGGCCATTTATTATTTCGTTCATTTTTTTTTATTGCTGCCGATCATATGAACTTCCAATTGGCTTGATGTGATTTCCCCCTTTTTTTGTTGTATCTTCTGTAGAAGCGATCGAAATCGCTCCCACGTTCTCTGAACGGCCAAACGCAGTTTCCGCAGGTCGGCTTCGCTGCAAAGATTATACTGCTTATTTGTGTGTTCAAATGCAGCGGGTAAATTCATTTCGATTGAGAACACTCGCGCTTGGATACATTGTATTTTATTAATTTTTAATGATGACAACTGACATTCCTTAGTCTGATATTTAGCGGTGCAACGGATGTTCCATTATCCGATGTTTAAAGCCAGGGCACAAAGGAAGAAGAAAACGGAACGAGCTCCTCATGTAGCCAGACAGGGGTCATATACCTGTTCGTGTTACACACAGGTTGTAAGGCTTGAAGCACCTCGCTACAGTACACAATTTTTGTTCGTAGGACGGCTCCTTGAAGCGGACGTCAAACGACTTTGTTAAAAAAAATATTAAAACAATGACAAGACGCGTTCAGCTTTTCGACTTACCGGGAAAGAAATCGATATCGTCAGGAAGCATAAAAAAGAAGAATGGGCCTTAGTGGTGCTCGCACAGGATTACGCTCCTCACATGTGTGGTGCACAGTTCGCGAGCCGGGCCAGGAAACTAAGGGGACATCAGCACGAGATGTACAGTCTCCGGCATTATGAAAGACACATTCGCCAATGCTGTTTATGCCGCGGTGCCAAGCCCGCCTTGGCTGGACGCGATTTATTTTCAAAGAGAAAATAGAACAAACCTTTATTTATTCCCAAACCAAAACAATGTGTGCCTAGCCAAAGCAAATCTACCGTAGCCACCTAAGATAAAATCGTCAAATCGCGTTTCCATATTCCCGAAGGCTGTACAATCTTTGCATTAAACTTGGTGCGACAAAGCGGAGAAACTAAAAGTCTACAGAGACATTAAGTGACTGCTTTCGCTGCCTTCTGTGCATGTGGGAATCCTTGCTTCTTGGCATTAGAGATATCCGATCCAGTCTTGAACAAAACCCAACACTTCTATCTTTAACTGCACACACTCGTTCAAACAGAAGGGTCACCGTCTCGGGTTCACCGCCCGCTCGCATTGGCTTCAGTTTTCGTTCTGTCCGTCTCGACTTACCACGCTGTTGAACTTCTCGGCTGCATCCGACCGCTTCGGTACAAAGTTCAGCTCGCCCCCGCGTTCGATCGTCTCCACAGGCAAGCCGATGCCGTTGTCAAAAAGTTCCAATATTCCGTTGCTCGTGAACTGGACTATTTGAAGCACAACAACATATTGTTTTACAAGTGCATCCTAAATATATTAGCGTTAATTAATAAAAGTGACTATTTATCACCAAGTGGTGTTTGTATTCTGTAAAAAATTATCTTCGCTTCATGTAAACTCAGTCCGTTTTCCTCACTTTTTTTCTGCAAACTGCTTTTCCTTCTTAAAGAGGGGCATGTGATATTACATATTTTGATATACACGCTGACAATAAAGAACAGGTGATTACATGGTTATTTGATCGCACGCGATAAGACACATCATGGATTGGCTCCCGTGCCGGATGCTTCCTGGGTGTAACGGAGATGGGCCTATAGCGCGAAGGGCCGGGCGTGCTGTACGTGCCTTACAAGCTGTGTATAGCACAAACAGATATATTACCCCGGTCTGGCTACATGAAAAGCTCGTTCCGTTTTCTCCGCCCTTTGTGCCCTGGCTTTAAACATCGGATAGTGAAACATCCGATGCACCGCTAAATATCAGACTAAGGAATGTCAGTTGCCATCATTAAAAATTAATAAAATACAATGTCTCCAAGCACGAGTGTTCTCAATCAAAATGAATTTAACCGCTGCATTTCAACACACAAATAAGCAGTATAGTTTTTGCAGCGAAGGCGACCCGCGGAAACTGCGTTTGGCTGTTCTGAGAACATTGGAGCGATTTCGATCACTTCTACAGAAGATACAACAAAAAAAAAAAAAGGGGGGAGGGGGGGAATCGCATCAAGCAAATTGAAATTTCATACGATCGGCAGCAATAAAAAAAAAAAAAAATTGAACGAAGTAATAAATGGCCTTTTTCGAAAAAGTGGGTTCAAAATATCGGTTAATTTCATTTTCGACGATATTTCAAATTTTATATAAAAAATTCAATGAAAATAAAAAAAAACTAAACTTATGCTCGTCGATAGTTTATGTATAGGCTACCCCCGCATACTATTTAATGAGTGAGAAATATAATAACTGATGAATTACAATGCTCTGAATATGTCACTGGATTGTCAAAGAGACGATGTTTGGCATTTTATACCTCAATAAACAAAAATACGAAAGTATTTTCCTTTGAACTAAAAAATAGTCCAAATAACATACAAAAGCACAAAAAATTACTGTGAGTTCTGTATGCTTCTCGTATTCGTACCAGCGTACAGAAGTGGGTAGAAAGATCACGGAGTAAAAAAAATGAAAGCCGCTTACAACTCCCTGTAACGCCGAATTAGAGCGCAGCTCTTGAGGAGGAGGAGGGAAGGGCACGGGGGGGGTGTAAACTAACCAGGGGGGGGGTCACGTGACCTTGGGGGTCACGTGACCCCCAATGCCGATGATGTCATCACTGACGTCACTGATGACGTCATCCGTGACGATGACGATGCGGGTACCGATGACGTCATTAGTGACGTCACTGATGGCTTCACCAGTGATGATGACGATGACGATGCGAATGTCGGTGACGTCATCAGTGACGTCGCTGATGACGTCATCAGTGATGATGACGATGACGATGCGGATGCCGGTGACGACATCAGTGACGTCACTGATGACGTCATCAGTGATGATGACGATGACGATGCGGATGCCGGTGACGTCGTCAGTGATGATGACGATGACGATGTGGATGCCGGTGACGTCATCAGTGATGATGACGATGACAATGTGGAGGTCGGTGACGTCATCAGTGATGATGACGATGACGATGTGGATGCCGGTGACATCAGTGATGATGACGATGACGATGGGGATGCCGGTGACGTCATCAGTGATGATGACGATGACGATGCGGATGCCGGTGACGTCATCAGTGATGATGACGATGACGATGTGGATGCCGGTGACGTCATCAGTGATGATGACGATGACGATGTGGATGCCGGTGACGTCATCAGTGATGATGACGATGACGATGGGGATGCCGGTGACGTCATCAGTGATGATGACGATGACGATGTGGATGCCGGTGACGTCATCAGTAATGATGACGATGACGATGCGGATGCCGGTGACGTCATCAGTGATGATGACGATGACGATGTGGATGCCGGTGACGTCATCAGTGATGATGACGATGACGATGTGGATGCTGGTGACGTCATCAGTGATGATGACGATGACGATGTGGATGCCGGTGACGTCATCAGTGACGATGACGTCATCGGGGGGTCACGCGACATCGGCGGGGGTCACGTGACCTCGGGGGGTCACGTGACCTCGAGGAGGGGGTCACGTGACCTTGAGGAGGGGGTCACGTGACCTCAGGGGAGTCACGTGACCTCGGGGGGGGTCACGTGAACCCCCACGAGGTCACGTGACCCCGGTGGGGGGGGCTCGCGCGGTGCATTATGGGACATTTCCCATGATGCACCGCGCGGTTACGCCGACGGCGACGGCGACGGCGACGGCGACGGCGACGCCGCTCAAGCCGGAAACGGGCCCCTAAGAGCTGCGCTCTAAAACAGATTTTCGCCCTGCTCCACTCAATAATTTTTTGTGAAGCGAAATATTTTGTTTTTAATATTGAAAAGCGGTTTTCTTCTTTCCGAAAATGGGGCAATTATATGTTTTTTTTTAAAAATCGAAGGACCCACCCCGACAAGCGTGTTCGATTTCAAATGAAACCACCCTAAAGCATTTATGTGAAAGCGCAAGCCAAACTTACTCCACAACAACAAGCGCCCCGTTAAGGAAATCTAACAATGCTAAGTAAGGTATGATTCCCGATATTGTAGTGAGTGCGCAGGCGAGCTGGTGGAAATTAACCATTCTGAAGTTAGCCTGAGACTGAGGCAGGAAAGAGGAAGTTTCAAAGTAGAAGAAAAAGGAACAGTCGAGGATACGTCTCTAACACAGCTAAAGACAAGTTTATTCGGTCACCCTCTTATATGCACTCCACAATCTTCACCACAGAACCTTCGCGACCACAGAACCTTCGCGACTTTATCCTTTGGCTTTAGAGGTCGCGAAGGTTCTGTGGTGAAGATTGTGGAGTGTATATAAGAGGGTGACTGAATAAACTTGTCTTTAGCTGTGTTAGAGACGTATCCTCGACTGTTCCTTTTTCTTCGACTTTGAAACTTCCTCTTTTCCTGCCTCAGTCTCAGGCTAACATCAGAATGGTATGATTCCCGTGCGTCTTGCAATGACCGCTTTAATATTTGGCTAGTCGAATTTCTCTAACACCCAAGAAAATAATGTACTTGTTACTGTAATAATATAAAAGTAACTTCAAAAGTAAATCGTTACTTTTTCATGGTATTTACAAAATTACTCAATTACTTTCCATTTGAATATTTTCTACTCTAGTCAAATTACTTTTGAGGTCAATACTCAATACAATAATTAATTTTTTTGAGGAGCTTGTACATGTTTGCGTATAACCATTTAGTGCCTGGGTGTGATTTGTCGATTTGAAGTTAAGCATTGTGCACGATTAGCACCAATGTTCTAAAGCAACAAAATTAATCAACGGTGTTAAAAATGTATACCAACAAAGAGAGTATTCATACTCACTATATTATCTGAAGATGAAGCTTTTGTTTGGAGTAACTGATACAACGTTTGGCCATCTCCGCTTGGCTTCCCGAAGTCACGAACAACCTTAAAATTTTAGAAATATATAGTGAATATATTGCTAGAATAATTAATAAATAATGGGGGCACGTCACCGCTCTAGGAATGGAAGGCTTACCGCTCGCTCTCGTTCAGGTGCTCATCCAAGCATGGCTGCCTGTCTGGTTCTCCTGCCTGCCTGCACCAGCTACAGCTACAGCTACCGGACTGACTAACGACCCTCAACGGCTTGGTTGGATGATCGACAACAGAACAGCCCTGCCATTTCTTCAACTTGAAACCATCGGAACGCCTTTCCCGCCAATCACGGAACTCAGCGCAGACCTTGGTTGGCAACACCGCTCTACTACAACAAGCCCGCGACTACTTAAACAACAAGCTCTGGACCGGCACTTCGGGCACGTCACCGCTCTAGGAATGGAAGGCTTACCGCTCGCTCTCGTTCAGGTTGGTGTAATTCACCTTGATTGTTACAAAAACGATGACCTCATGTTAATAGCGGTGTCGTGCCCGACCCATTGGTATCTGTTCATCATTGATAGCATTACTTACGCCGGTGGCTGTTGTAACCAATTACTTATCTTATTATCCGGTGATGTAGAGACTAACCCTGGAATGACTAAGGCTCAGGAAGCCCAATTAGAATCTGTCCTGGCCATTGTACGAAACCTTAAAGAAGGGAAAAATGAAGTTTTAAGCGAACTAAAAAAACTGAGAGAAGATCAGTCTCGTACTGAATCAGCCGTGACTGCCCTGACTAAAAGAGTAGCGAATGTGGAAGCATGCGTGTCTAGTTTGGACGAGATACGCAAAGATGCAGAAAGCACAAAAATATCTTTAAAAAGCATGACAGAACAAATTCATACTTTGGAATCACGGTGCGAGGACGCGGAGAATAGAATGCGACGTTGCAATCTTGTGTTCTATGGTCACGCTGACAAACAAAATGAAACATGGGCCCAATCAGAAAAACTGGTTCTTGACATGTGCTCTCGCAACCTGGGTCTTTCGCTACAATCTAGTTTCGTAGAAAGAGCGCACAGGCTAGGTCGCTTTAACGATAATAAAACACGCCCTATCATTGTCAAGCTTTCTTCTACCAAGCATAAAAATAGTATCTTGAGCGCGTGTTACAAATTAAAAAATACCGGTTTTGCCGTCAGCGAGGATTTTTCACCAGCAGTACGCGAGGCACGGCGAAAACTGATTGAGTTTGCGAAACAACAAGGAAAGCAATACAAGCTGCGCTCGAACAGATTAGTCATTGATAACAAAACATTTTGCTTCGACTCTGCAAAGAACAGTATATATGAAGAAAAAAAGCCATAGGAGATGTGTACACGCCGCCGCCCACCCCAGTCTTCCCGAGTACGCAGAAACACTCATGTTCGGTCGTTTTTACAAATATAAGAAGTGTTTTAACAAACCGCGACGACCTATTATCACTAATTGAATCATGCACTGCTGACCTCGTCATTCTGACAGAAACGTGGCTGAAACCCGAAATTGCTGACTCAGAAGTGTTATACCTTACCTTAAACAGATGCGACAGACTAACAAAGAGGGGTGGCAGTGTCCTAATCGCTATCCGCAATCATATTAGTGCGTCACAAGTTAACGTTCCAGGTAACCTCGAGATGGTATGGCTTCAACTTCACTCTCAGTGTTCCAATATCTTGATTGGTGTATGTTACAGAGCACTCGATCATCACGCTAGTTTCATTAGCGAACTTCATGACTCCCTCTCGTCCATTTTTAATACCCTTAAACCAAATGCGTCGGTCATCCTCTTTGGCGACTTCAACTTTCCGAATATTGATTGGAACTCCCTTTCATCAGGTCATCAGTTTGATAATGAGTTCATCGACCTAGCTCTTACGTTTAACCTCTCCCAAATGATAACTAAACCAACAAGAGTTAGCCATCACTCTAGCAACATTCTTGACCTGTGCCTTACTACTGACCCCTCACATGTGAATAACATCACTCATCTTCCCGCTATTAGTGACCACAATGTTATACACTTAAACCTGCAGTTTGACGTCGTCATCAGATCATGCCATTATAAATTTATTAAAGACTACAATAAAGCTGGCTATGATGCAATTAATAGAAATCTTCAACAGTTTTATCATACTTTTCATATAAACTTTTATCAAAGAACAGTTGAGGAAAATTGTAATCTCTTTAAAAACAAGGTAACAACTCTGACTGACACGTACGTTTCAACCATCAGAATTAAAACAAACAATGCAAAGCCTTGGTACAACAAGAAAATCTCCAAATTAAGTGCTCGGAAGAAACGACATTTCAAGCAAGCTAAAGAAAAGGACAATACTATTGCATGGGATAATTACAACGCGTCTGCTAAGGAATATAAAAGAGAAGTTAAAAATGCAAAGAACAAATTTTTTAACTTCGACCTTCTTAATATTTTGAAGAATAAGCCTAATAAGTTCTGGGAGGTCATTCATCCTAAAGAGCATAAATCCATCCACCTGACTAATATGAATGGAACTCCCGCGTCTGATAGCGAAAGCGCCTCACTAATAAATACCTACTTTAGCTCAGTATTTACATTAGAAAACAATGACAATATTCCTCTCCTAAATCACCTTTCTCATTCTGCTATGCCTTCAATCGAAATAACATATTTGGGTATAGTGAAAGCGATAGAAAATCTCAAAAATTCTGCCAGCTCCGGTGATGACCAAATAAATTCTAAATTGCTGAAAAACACAAAACATCTCATCCCAATTTTTAACCCTTATTTTTCAACAGTCACTTGATGTCGGCAAGCTTCCGTCTGATTGGAAAATTGGTAGAGTCATTCCTATTTTTAAAAGTGGGGATCGTAATGTTGTATCGAACTATCGCCCAATATCTCTCACCAGCATCTCATGTAAATTACTAGAGCACGTCATTTTCTCTTCTACCATGAAATATCTGGAAAATTACAATCTGCTTTTTAAAAATCAGCATGGTTTTCGTAAGACATATTCGTGTGATACCCAGCTAATACATTTCATTCATGAGCTTCACAGTAACCTTGACAACAGATTACAGACCGATGTCATTTTCATAGACTTTTCTAAAGCATTCGATAAAGTTCCCCACCAACGTCTGCTACAAAAACTAACCCAACTGCGTATTCATAATTCAGTAATCACTTGGATCAAAAATTTCCTATCCGATCGTACACAATATACTGTAGTAAACGAGTCCCGTTCACCTCTTTCTCGCGTAACGTCCGGCGTACCCCAAGGTAGTGTTCTTGGCCCCTTGCTGTTTTTAATATACGTTAACGACCTTCCTGCTAACCTAACATCTGAAATTCGCCGCTTTGCTGACGATTGTGCTTTATACAGACCGATAAGTAATAATAATGATCACCTACTCTTACAGGCTGACTTGCTAATAGTAGAAGAATGGTGTCAAACATGGCAAATGACAGTTAATGTAAATAAAACGAAACTAGTGTCTTTCACCAGATCACAGTCCCCATCACTCTTTTCATATCAACTCAACGACACAATAATTGACCCCTATACATCTTATAAATACCTCGGCGTTCATTTAACCTGTGATCTATCTTGGGCAGCTCACCTTAATTTTATTTTATCTAAGGCTAATTCATCATTAGGATATCTTAGGCGCAACCTCAAACTGGCCTCACCAGAAATTAAACAATTATCATACATAACATTTGTTAGATCTCGTCTAGAGTATGCGTCTTCTGTATGGTCCCCATGGCAGCATTACCTAGTTATGAAATTAGAGGCAATTCAAAACCGAGCTTTAAGGTTCATTTTCTCAGACTACTCTCGTTTCATTAGCGTAACAGGCCTAAGAAGCAAAGATAACCTTCACACACTTTCATTTAGGCACATTCTTTCTCGACTAGCCCTGTTTCATAAATTATACTATAACAATGCCTCTATTAGAGCATCTCTCTTCCTTCCACCCCACAGCATATCTCTCCGCCATGATAACTCCCGCAAAGTTCGCCCGATTTTTAGTTCAACTGTGTCATTTTATAATTCCTATCTGCCCATGACAATCAAGGACTGGAATAAATTACCCGGTAGTGTTGTAACCGAGACTAACTCCGATAGATTTGCCGAAGAACTGATCAATTACCTGGAACTTACAAACATGTCTATCTGCTAATTTTTTTCTTCCTTTTTATGTTCACAGTGCATACCGTTAAAATATTAATAATATTGTGTAATGTTGACAGCTACTTGTATTTTGTTGTTCTTTGATTGTATTGCTGACTTCCTCTCTGTGAGTGTTAATTTATTTTTAAACTATGATGATTAGTGTGTTATTGACCCCCCTTGTATAATGCCCTAACGGGTCTCAAGGAATAATAAATGAAATGAAATGAAGAAAATATCAGGCCTAACACAAGGATATTTACGTTCAGCACTTGCTGAAAACTAAACCAAGGCTGAAACAACACTGACTATATAGATAATTACTGTTTTCTCGAAATAGTGATGTTCATTCTGTTTAAGAGATACACGAAGCTGTCTATCCCAACTGTAGCCGGTGCAAAACAGATAGACAAAAACTTAGAGGACACTTAAGCTTCGCCTTTAGGACTGGAACGCAACATCGTTACCGGGCCCCGTTCGCCTCGGTTTCTCATTTGCTTCTCGTGTCTGGCCCGCCCTTCGAAGGGTCTTGGGCTCGATTTCTGCCTAAAACCCTTCAAATGTTTCTTTAAGACTAATGAATTACTTTGTAAAGTGAAATAATTTGAGACATGCGGCGTCCTTTCTTATCAATACATGCCATCTTTTTTAATCTATTTCGTTCCATGCGTGACATCACTTTCCACGTGAGCGTTGGAACAGAACAGAGTGTACGCAATCAGGGGCATGATGACCCTGATTGCAGGGTCATCATGCCCCTGCAATCAGGATTTTCACGTCATGCCAGGCACGTACCCAGGGGGGAGGCCCATGGGGCCCGGGCCCCCCCCCCTCCCCCCCCCCCCGAAATCTTCCATTTTGCTGGGACCCTCCTCTCCCCCTCCCCCTTATACAGCATTTTGTCATTGGCGCCCCCCCCCCTCTCCCGAAATAAAATCCTGGCTACGTGCCTGCGTCATGCTACCGCCGCCGGCTTTTCTGCCACGTCACGGAGCCTGGTTTTTCTGCGACATGTGCTTTTTATCGCTGTCGCGTTAAAAAAAAAATTAGGATTGTTATTTAATTGCATTATAGTTAAGAAGTTTCTTTTCGCGTGCACGTTTTCTTGCCTCCAGATAAGCGATACCAAACTCTACGCAAGCTTCTGGATTATATCCACGAAGCTGGCATAGAAATACATATATAATTTCCTTTTCCCCATTGACTCATTTCCCTCCCTTTAAAGCGGTTCAAATAAACGGTTTATAATACTACTACTTGGCCCTGTTCAAACTCTTGATGTTTGCCGAAGTTAATTGTGCGTGTTAACTCATTGAGTCCGAGTGCTTGTGCCCAGAATATTGCTATAATCGGGTAGATTTTCTGCCTCCAGAGGGTAGGTTGAGAATTCAAGCTTACATTTGTCATGACAACTTCGGTGTTCATAAGTGCAAGCCAAGCAATGACGCAGTGTATTTTTTCTCTCACTCCGTCAGACTTATCTAGCTGTACCGACGGGAAGCCGCAGTTAACGTACGAGATAATATGAAGTTCATCAGTTCATCAGTATGACGCTTTACACGTCCCTAAATACGCTGCGATTGGAACTATAATGTGAACAAAGAAAAAAAAACTGAAACCGAATATATTTAATTTTTAGTTCACAGTGTTCACAGTTCAAAGCTGTACAACACCGAGCCAGTTCACCGGAGGTTGTACTGGCTCGGGGCTGTATAGTTTGTCGTCTTGAGTGAGACTGTACGATATACTCCTAATACAATTTCAACACGTAAATATTCAGTGGTTAAGCAACACCATACTTCATTATTGATGTTCTTCGAATGGCATTTCCTAAATTATTTCAGCTAAAAAAGAACTTGCAAGTGTGCGTTCATTGGCAGGGCCGATGTTTGGAAACCCGCTGGTTTGATCGCGAGATTGGAAAATTTAATTTATTACGTAGACTTTTGGGACACTCGAAAGTGAATTACATGCGTCTGCTCCTGAGCTCTCGATGGGGCAATTACAATTCGATGAGGCAAACATAATTTTATGTCGCGAAGTAACGAAGTCTGCCAGAAACGTATGCCTAGGAATATTTGGAACGAAAGCTCCGAGGAATGACATGAGGGCGAGAGTATTTTTCAATCACTTTACTGAAATGCAAAAAGGTGCGTTCGCTCGTCGCCGTTGCAGTCCCCTTTACGGACGCTCAAAGGGCTGTTCAATATACAATATTCAAAACTGCTTGAAGTTGTGGTAACATTGGGCGCGCGGCCATCTTGGAACCATCGAATATCTTGACTTTCGGTTTCGCCTCATTTAGAGGGCAAGTGGCGCTCTGCCACAACGCACGCGACGCTTGCACCCGGCCACACCAAACCAGAGGAGTCTGGCGCATTGCGGCGGCTGTCGCTTAGCTTCAGCGCGCTTGCCGCTTGGGGTGAGTCGCAGATTCACTAGTGATGACGTCATGGGCAGGCCTTGTCTGCTAGGTGGTATTTTACTAGGCCTTTACGTCTTTTACTTCTCACGACACATTCAATTCTTTTTATAGAAGCGAAGGCGCAAGTAATCGTACTATTCAGTGCTGGAAGCACATCGCCAATCATGTAAGTTCTCCACCCAAACATGCAATTCAAAATTACATTTTAATTTTTTTTTTTTTTTTTTGGAAGGGGGAGGGGCACTGGCGGAAATTTGTTTGGGTGCAAGGCTCCGATTTTTTTGGAAAGCAAATAGCACTCTCCGTATTATTTTTCAGGGAGTGCGAAAAGCTCAAATCGAATCGAGATAGCACCGGAGTCAGTAGAGCGCAGATGATGGACGTCGTGCCGGCAAGACTGCATATCGGCTTCGATTTTCTAGAATATAACTTGTGGAAGCCTGCCTACGAATTTCCTTCCCAATAAACACGATTGTAATCACGGCTACCAAAAAAAGGCAGAACAGCGTGGAAATTGACGTCGACGCTGTCGGTCTACTTGGTGTTCGCAGCGTCAAGTCACTTTTTTGCCACGCCGCCAGCGTGCTCCTTTCCTATACACTGAGGTGCTTTCGCACCAAGATAAAAACAGGCCTACCCAACGACATGCACCTGAAAAAAATACGAATTGAAAACAAAATCTCGTACACCTTTGTGAAATAAATAGGATTCAGTTTAATAGCTGTAAATAGATTCGAAGCCGTGAGAAAACGTACTTATGCTTTGTTTTTGCGTTTTGACCAATTTTAATGTCAAACGTTACCCATGAATAAAGAAAAAAAAAATCCGGAACCTTGTTTATTTTTGCACCATGTTCCCGCAAGGAACGATGGCTCCTCGCCGCTCACGCAGCAGAACGCACCAGTGGCTTGGCATTGCACAGTTTGCATGAAGAGTGGTTCCTTGTTTACGTCCATTCTTCACCGGTCTGGCCACTGGTTTTGTTTTCTCCCTGGCACCAGGATGGTAGACCTACTTTTCATACGCTACGAGATGGCGCTGTACATTTTAGAAAGCAATTTACAGCGCGTGTTCCTGGCTTTGAGAGTGTACGTCAGTGTTGCCCGACTGCTCTGGGCTGTGGGTTTTCTAGTCAGTGGACTGTGGCAGCTAGCGCACGTGCAATTTCTGACGCTGGTAACGGCTAAATGTCTGAGTTTTATTGTCTATTTTGTGTTTCATGGGAACGAAAGTTCTTGAGACTTTTAAAACGCATTCTACCACTTCTGTGAGCATAAACAAATCAATTAAAGCTATATTTGTGAGTTTGTGCGCGACAGATCAAAATCAAACGCACCAGAAAGATCTCTTCCATTTTATGCTAATTTTTCACCCCCCCCCCCCCCCCCATGCACTAAACAGTGTCAATCTACAAAGGTCTTAACAGTTGAAAATATACGACCCCAAAAGATAGCCGGAAAACATGGGGACTCACCGCTTACCTCATAAAATTGAACAGCTATCATCAATCTAACAGAATGTTGTACAATCCCCATGGTACCGCGTTATCCCGACAAGGCTTTTTTCAGAAAGCTCTCAAATAACACAGCATATCAAACCTAGAGTGTCGACGACAGTCACTTCATGACGATCGGACAGAATGGGGACTTGTTTTAGGACACGTTTTGAGGAGATCTTGTTTCTTGCACAGCACCGAAGCAAATGAACGTACGAATTCTGTTCCGGCCCCTATCCCGCGCCCGATCTGCTATTTTTTGCGAAGACCGCGAGGGCTTTACAGGAATTATATCAACGGAGATAATCCTCCAAGCACGTCGAACCACCCGCGTACCGTGGTCGCGGACCAGTCGACGTTCCAATTTTTCGTTTGTTTCCCGCGAAGGCCGAGCAGGCTATGAGTCCTGGCATTTCCTGGTTCTCACAGAGGAAGACAAAAACGGTAAGAATCCTGAACAGCAAATGAAGAAAACCTTTGAAGAAAGGCCTGCGAACTCCTAACACAACGCAGATGGAAGGTCGCATTGGCCGGGTTTCCAAAGCCTAGATGGCTGGCAGAAATTTCTGGCTGATAGAGGTCGCGACAGTCGCAAGACGGCGGCGGCCGGTACCCATTATGAATAGGTTCGGAACCACTCCTCATTGGAGAAACAACTGACATCGTGGAACGTGCAAGTCATTCCATAAGATAGCAAAAGTCAGAGAACGGCCAAAGCTAGGAACCGACGAACCGATCAAACAGCGTCAATGTCGTGACGTCACGGCGCTCATCCCTTTTTTTTATGGGCGTAATATTGCCTTCTAATATAACCAAACGCATAAACTAGGGCGTGACGTTGCGATTTCAGTCCGCTATTCTACAGAGATCCCACAGCTACCAACAAATTAAAGTGTTTCGAAAGGTGTATATTAAAAATTATTTTTCCGCTTGAAATGCGACGCTCATAATGTTACTTGATCCATATTTTACGCCTTTCTTCACAGCCGAGTCGCTCCTTTAGGCCGAAAGTCACGTGCCGATTGTTAGAAGCTCAGAGTCACTGCACAATGGCGGAACAACTGACATCATGGAACGAGCAAGTCATTCCGTAATATACGGAACTTCAGAGCACTACCAACGCTAGGAGCCGGGGAGCCCAAGGAGCCATTCAAACAACTTCAAAAGTGCATAGCATCACCGCGCTCTTCCCCTTATTCTGTGGGCGTGTTTTTGCCTTCTAATTCAAGTAAATACATAACGTGTGCCGTGACGTTGCGGTTTTAGTCCGCCATTATGCGGGGATTCCAAAGCCGCCATTAGAGAGCAATCTTTCTAAAGAAGCCTATAATCGTCCGCGCTGCCACGTTTCTGTATCGGTGCGGTGGAAGGCGCCTGGAGCGTGCGCAGTAGCTCTCTAAGACTTAAAATGAGCCGCCACGCATGCTTCCACGGTCCGGTGAATGGGCATTTTTCTCTCGGGTGATACGCGCTGGAGAGGTCAATAGTGTCTGCTCGCGTTTTGCGTCATCGGTCGGGTTGTGACCCTTTCGGTCGTTACTGAATTATTCGCCAAACTAAGGATTTACAAAATTAATAACAAGTGTTTCGGTAAAAAGTTTCAAAATAAAAGCAAATACGTTCACTGGATCTTAACTTGAAAAATAAAAATGCGAAAAAAAAGAGGCACGCAATAAGAAAACTCATTTTGTTGCGATGGCAGTTACCTCTGCATTTGAGTCACAGCTGCCATAACGGTTTGAACTTTTCGATCAGAATCAAGTGCAACGTAATTATTAACGCTCAATTGCTGCTTCTGTCATCTCATTCTTCTCATTACACATTACCTTTCGAGTTTCCGCGAGTTCTTGGTGAGTGAGTAGAGGTTCCATGCGTTCCACGAATCTGTCCAGAGCTTCTTGAAGAGGAGTCAAAGGGAGCTTGGGTAGCTCTTTCTGTCTTGACATCATGCTGGCGTCACCTGTCGACCATCGTTTACTGGTCGCCTTTGACAGAGACATTCTACTAAACGCTTTCTTCACGTATTTTCTTCGTAAGTTAAGAATATGCTTGTTTCGCTTTTTGCCCCTTAAGAGTACTAAGACTTGCGACGAAATTCGGACACTAGAAGTGAACTGAATGAATAAATGAACGGTTCTATTGAGTCGGCATATGCTCCTAGTAGTAATTTATATAGAGAGACAAAATAAATACCAAAAGAAAAGTGCAATGTGCTTCGCTTCCTGTGGAAAATCACTCGGGGAAACCACATGCTTAAATGAGGCGAACGGCTTCGTCGTTCCCTGCTGCATATGCAGTTTTCCCGCTCGCAGTTGCCGTAAATGTGCAAGTACACGGGGGAAAGAGGAATATATTTTTTTCTAGTTTGCGCGGCTTGATCTAGGTGGCATACAAAATCGCAGTTACACTGTCTACGCGATATTCGTGTATGTTTTAGGCATGCATACGTTATGGTTAAAACGAAATCTCAAGGTATAGATAGTGAACCCCAAAGGTTGTATTGAGACTAAAAATAAAAACAATGCAACTTTTTTTTAATAAACAGCTTGAAAATCAAAGTAAAATATGATTCCCCATTGGCTACGTAAAATATAAGACACTTAGAAGATGCGAATTTTATTTTATTAATAAAAATCATGCTAATGACACCGGTCACAAATTTTCCAATAAGAAGCCTGGCTCGGTCCGGTATCACAGCACGCAAAGAACGCATTACAATTGCATGAATAAGAAAAGTCTAATTATCAAGACAAAAATAATTGCACATTGTTTTTTTAGTTAAACATTAAATTTAACGCGATTAATAGCAAAGACGTTACACAGCGGAACAAAGTTGTGAACTAAACATCGAAGTGCGTAATTAGTGTGGTTTGGTTGGGTTAAAATATTGTACGAAAAGCAAAAGAAAAAGAGCAAAATTTGAAGCTTAGAAACTCAGTAATTGTGAAGTAAACAAAAGTCGTATATTTCGCCCACAATGTGCGAAGATACGAAAGCGAGGACTGTAGCACACTCGTGCAAAGCGGTGTGGAGTGGTGCCCTCAGGTACCCGAGGACGGAGGTGCGACGTGGTTGATTCGCATAGCCGTCGTGATTGGCGTGGTTGCTGCCACTCACGACCGCTACCTGTGTGCGGTGATCCGTCAGGTAAGTAGGTAAGCACGGTGGAAGTTTCTAATACAATCAAACCTCACGCGTAGCATCCGACTACTGCCAAAGTAGATTTTCACATAACTCGAGAAATTTTTGGAAACAACCGTTCGATGCAGACGACACGAAGATTCTCTCTTCGTCATGTCATTCTTGGCGGAATGCCAAGGCTGCCCTCTTTGCTGTCTTCGCGCTGCACGGCCGACGGGAAGTCCCGACTTCCCTCTCCTCGCGCCAAGAGGGTAGAGAAGAAAGGTTTTTCCATTCTTCGCGCGCGCAGGGTCGATGGCCCATGGGGTTGCAATCTCTGCAAAGTGTTGTATCTGCAAAGTATCGGAATCGACCGCTTTTTGCCGCAAGGACGTCGGAACGCACTCAAACCCGTTTGAGTCTGTTGCGACGTCAATCGTGTTCACCTTACCAACACCTGACTTTGGTTCCTTTAAAATTTTCTATAGGCACGAAGCGTCTGTACACAAGGATGGCACCATGGTGTTCCAATCATTCCTTTGAAATCTCTATAAATATCCACACCTCTAATGAACCGTTTATGGTATGTCACAACCAAACAATTTGCATTTCGCACAAATGTTTACAAGAGAAAATCAGGCCTTCCTGGGGAAAGATATACTGATTTGAGCAAATAGTTTTTCCCATAAACGGTATCGAAAATCCCTAGATCTAGGAAAATAATCCTATAAGATTGACAGCACTTAGGCCAAGGCCCTCCCCCCCCCCCCCCCCCCCCCCCCCCTTGATTCGCGCCTCTCTACCTTTCACCCCAGTGTTTCCGGGACTAGGGCCAATAGGGTCCCTCTGAAAAGGGATGAAGGTGTGCAGCGGTGAAGGGATGCAGCGGTAAAGGTGGCGGTGACCCCCCTCGCCGCCGTAGGAGGCATGCCACTGTCATATTAGAGAGTTTTATTAGATCGTTTTTCTCCTCCGCTGCGGTATCCGTAAAGAAAACGCCGCAGCTGCTTATGCGCGCCACCAGCCTTGTCTGCATAGTTCAAGGTCTTGTGGCGGATTACGGAGCGCTATTCGTGTGCTTAGCGGGCTGCGGAAACTGTCTACTAAACCTCCATATGGACGTTCAGCAGATCGCTCCACGCCCATTTCTGGACCTCTACAGAAATCGAAAGTGACTAAATTTCCCCAGTACGCAGTCGTGATCCATTTTGAGAGAAAGTACGGCGCTTTGTAGATCGACGAATTAATGTACAGCAAGCACGATGATACTGTCGTATGGCTGCATCGTATGCCGACATGTATCACAGTTCTCGCCTCGCTCCCTTGACCCAAGAGCAGCATGTCGGCCTCTACAATAAAGTGCATTGTATTTCTTGGACATCACAACACTTAACAAAGTCCGATAGCGAGGATTGCGAGGATGAGAACACAGCTACTAAAGGTGGTTGATGCGGGTTGCGAAGTAACACCTAACGCAACGCTCAGCAACTTCATTAAGAGCCAAATCGGACGTTCCCATGCAGGCTCAGACGAAACTGGCCCTTATTGTTCACATGTTTTATCCACGCACAGCTAAGTAATCGAACATCTGCTTCAGCCTTGCTCCCTGGACCAACGGTCATCACATTATCCTTGAAGCTGTGACAATGTATCAGGTAGCAAATAATTTACACGTATTTCTTTTCTTGCCAAGCAAGTTCTATGCATTCCTGCAACAAGCTGCAGTAGTGAAAGAAACTTTAGAGCCACGGGCTACGTTATTCGAGAGAGGACCTGTTGTCTTTTTACCCTGTAAATAAAATGTTTGTGAAAGGTCGCTTTTATTTGGTTCCCTCTTTGGCGGTCTCGCAGAATAAGTGAAAACAATAATTTGTTTTTAACGAAAAGTATTGTTTTTATACTAAATATGAATGAGAAAAAATAATGATTGATATTTTTTGTAGAAAGAATACTGAACAAACGCAGTGCAGAAGTAGCTATTCTAACTTTTGTTAATGCTGTTCTACGCGTATTGGGTGGGTATAAAAAGAATCAATGCCGGAGTTGCCATTTATTGCTAATCCTCGTAGGCCGATGACTTCATTTATGCCACCTTTTTTTATTAAGCTAATGTCTTTTTTTTGTGTGTGTGCGTGTCGCAACTTAACCAGACTAGATAAATTTGCACATGATATTCATAGCTCCGTCAAGTGGGGAAGAAAAAAAAAGAAAACACAAAGAAAAAAAAGTGGTGTACCAGAAATTCACTTCCAACAATCTCATTAAGTGAATAAAATTACGTTGCTCAATACATTCGTACTCCACGCAGCAAACTTTAGACAACGTAATACTGAATTCGGACCTCGGCCGGACCTGCTACAAAAGGTGGCGGGCCGGGCCGGGCTTGGGCGGGTTAGTTACCATTTTTGAGCATTGTCTCGAGATGGGACTATGCTCAAAAAAGCGGCACACGTAGTGCTCTAGCACAGAGTGCGACTCGAGTACCACAAAAAGCAAAGGATCTTTTTTTTTTCCTTTGCTTTTCATTAGAAATAAAAGGACGTTATCAGAACGATGCCCAATATAGGACTCAACTTAGAACAGTGAACTGCCAAAAAACACTTTTTAAGGTAAATAGATAGGACACGTATGTCACAAAATAACCCCCCCCCCCCCCCTCTCACCACCAGCCCCACCAAAAAGTATATACAGTACTGTAATTATGTCACATTGTGAGTTCAAAGGTGTTCTGAAACACACTTTTATTTTGAGAAGTTGACCTTAAAATGTTTCATAATCACTCATAAGTGAAAATGAGACAGGCGACGTCCACATTGCGCTATTGGGCAGGAGA